ATTTGATATGTATTTACAAAACTTCGTACAACATACAACGTACAAATTTGTAGATACGTCGACTTCGCACCAATTTCAAAATTAAGTATATAATAAAAATACGTACGTATTAATCATTTATATACTAAATCAAGATACGGATTACTTTGTAAATAAATTTATGTACTTTAGATTATTGTTTTTTCTGTTCCTTTATTTTTTTTAGTCATAAGTCTTGCCATTGTATTTAAAACGTCTTCGTTCCGCTTACGTGATCGGGTAAAAATATTTATCTGGCATATGACATCTTGTTTGGACTTTGGACAAAGTTAACGGCATATAAGCTTTTTTTACTTTGAAACGAAAAACATACCACAGATAACCGTAAAATGTAGCAAAAATCGATAAATAATTAAGTAGGTGTGTCTTTTTTAATTTATTTTACATCTTATCAAATTATACGTGATATAGTTGTAGCAATTTTGAATCGTGTTGATAAAACGGCCTCCAGGGTGTATCCAGAAAGTAAACGATAAGATAAAAGATATATATCAATAAGATCTTTTATCAAATTAATTAATTTACAAATTTTGATAAAACAAAACTGGATCCTGTTTTATATACTTTCTTATTGTATATGTATAGATTGTGGTAATATTAAATGTTTAAGTTTCGTACCAACCAATAAATGGATGAAAATCGATCAAAACCAACCCACTTTACTATTTAGTAATATTTCGCTAACCGACGCACTAAACCCGGCTTAAATTGTATGATTAATGAACCCCCAAAACAAGGGGACGATTGTCAATTTTAATAATAATAAAATAGTTTAAGTCAAATATAAGTTGTGTTTCGATTCGATGATGTATTTTTTAAATGTGTACTACTCGCATAAACTACAGACGGTATCTCACATCTTGCATATTTAGAGCTAAAATTAATATAAGAGAAGTTCTCTTACTTGTTTTTCTTCTTTACTTCCTTTTACACTTAAGTACTACAAATCTTGTCTTTGTTTTGCCTGATATTTGCGTTCAATGACCCTTAAATAGCATCAGCCCTTGCAGACTAAACAAGTTAGTTATCATTTAATCGATAATGGACAAAGATAAATAAATATATACGTTCATATACCTTAGACCTATTTTATTGTTATATACAGCGCAGGTCAATTGTAATATGTACCAGGCCAAAGTTATTTTTAATAAAAAAAAAACTTTTTAACGGTTTAAAGTGCGATTTCTACGTTTATACACAATATACCAGTTTTTTGTTTCTTGGCACAGCTCAATAAACAGCTGTAGCTTCCCATATTTATTTTTTATTTAATAAACACTTTTAAATGGTTTAAAACGGTTTTGTGTATATAAGACCCAATTATTGTTATAGCACAGCTCATCAAGAATCTATACCTTGCCATATTTTTTTATTTAATAAAAACTCTTTATCGGTTTAAGAGGCGACAGTACGAACCGACAATTTCGACATTCACGGTGGTGCAAACACAGCTTTTATTTCTCGATTGACGACTTTAATATCACCTATCAGTTGTAAATGTTTTTTGTTCAAGTAAAATCGTTGTTCAATAGTCGAAATTTAAGCGTAAGATTAGGTTCACATCACGGAGTAAAGTTAGAGATTACTTCAGCATTGTACGATGATTTACTACATATACAATCAATTAATAAAATAGATCCAAAATATGTCTGTACTACTATTTTGAGGATGTATTATCTAGGCTAAACACTGTTTATAAAATCCTCTGTAAATAAATATAAAAATGCACGTACAAAAAACACTTCTAGCAAAGCAGCACTTTAAACAGTTGTATGTCATTGTGCTAACGTGTGCTGTTTGTAAAAAAAAAATAATGACTCAGTATGTAGGGAAAAAAAGGTTTTATTGAAACAAAATGTTCTCATAATTTTTGTTCGAATCTCAGAAACAAGTACACAAAATACCTTTGTTTCTACAGCACACGATAGCACAACTAGTGTACTGGGGAAATATTAATTTATTCCAAAGTTAATTTCGTTTTCTCACAATCATTGTTCCGCTCTGATATTTTCTTAAGCGACGCACGTATTTCAAAAAATATTTTAATTAGACTAATATACATGCTTAGCCATTAACATTGAAATAATATCAAATAAACGAAATGAGATTGAAATGTGAAAATTGACGTTATTATAAATATAATCCATACGTTTCTTAAGACTAAAATTTGACCGCCTCTGTAGCGAAACGGTTAAACGTATTGCCTAGCATTGCGTTAAGCCTGGGTTCGAATCCCAGGGAAACTAAACATATTTTCGGTCAGTCAGAGCACAGAAGTCAGATCAACTACTTGCCTGATACAGAACGGATCAGTGAAATGGACACAGAAGTGTTTTAGCCCCATGCCCCACGACAGGGGAACGTCTTTAAAAATATGGGTTGTATATTTGGATTACATGAAACACGAATGTAAGTATATGCTTACACAAGTGGTGTTTAACAATATTAAACAATAAATCGCGAAAAATATGTTATGTTATGCAGTATGAAGAAATTATAAAGATCAGGGGGAGGTTTGAAAAAACAAATTTGCATAACCTAAATAACTATTCTACGGGGACGCTGACACAGCTATTGTAAGATAAAATTAGTCACAACTTTAATTATAATTATTAACAATATATAATAATATTCAATTGCTTTATTCTGTTTTGTTTCTTTGTCCAGAATCAAATAAATGTCATTGTTTGAAATCACATGCATTTATAATTTTCCTTTTTGAACTTCGATCCAGATAATATACAGCTCGTAATTGTTTCTTCTCTTTACTAACTAATAAGTAATAACGCATAATTATTCATAGTTCACGCGAGTAGTACACATTAAAATAGAACACTTTTAACCGATTAAAACGCGAATAGTATTAGTTAACGTTATTTCCAAATTATTCTTAACTACGGTCTGACGTTTTGGGTATTTTCGGCAGCAATGGCCACGGTTTCAAACTAAAAAAAAATCATATATATCAAACTAATTTGAAAATTAGTTTACCTATTACATTTTGTGTTAAATTGTCGTATTTTAATAACGCTCATAATATTAAAAATAACATTAAAGCTAATGACTGTATAAAGTTGGTATTAGGTTAGGCTAAAATAATAGCCTTACTTGTTTTAATTATTCGGTTTTTTTAATTCTTAGATAATTTATTAATAATAACTAAAGAGTTGTAAGACCGAATCCCAACAGGGCCACCATGTTTCTTAAACCGATTTATATATTTAAATAAAACACTTTAACGGTTTAAAACGCGATATATTAGTTAAACTTATTTGAAAATTGTTTTTAACTTCGGCCCGACGTTTCTGATGCTTTGCAGCAGCCGTGGTCACGGGGAGACTAAAGATGGTGGATGTCCCTAACGTCCTAGTGAAAATTGCTACGCTAGCGCCATCTATTCCGTCGAAGTTGGTATTTGGCGAAAGTCTTAGAATCTTCATAAAGTAAACCCCAGGCTTGTCCGACCTCTTCTGTTATAAGAAAGTCTATCATTATTTATAATATTCGTATAAGAATATGTAATGTGTTACTCACTTATACATATTTAATTTTATTTTTATCACATCCTTATAAGAAAATTCAATACTTTTAACTAGTTGTGAATTCCTTTTATTTTATAGCGCCTGCGTAGGTATGTGTTACGTGCAAAAAAATATCGCAAAAAGTCCAATTATAAATCGAAACATGTAAAAATAAAATTTATGGTAATCGCTTAAAATCCCTAATTACTTATAAGACGTCTATAATATAATTATGATAATTAATGGCCGAAAGAAACAATGCGAGGATTCACTTTATTTATCTGTGGTTTTTTAAGATTACAATAGATTTCGTGCTTAGTTTAAATGATGACAATCATAAAAATGAGTAATTAATTAAACTTCGTGAATGAGAAGAATATTAGAGGGAAGACGACGTGAATCTAAAAAGTAACGATATGCCCAAATGGCCCAATTCAACGAAAGTAGCGCCCTCTTCTGGAAGCCAAGAGCCACCTGCTGCGCCAGCGCAGTAATCATCAAAAATGTATCTTACATAATTATAAAACATCTCTTTATTTGGCATTCATTGAGTGCAATGCTGGTAAAGAATAAATATTATAACATAAAAATATTCAATAAAATTGGAAAGATGTGATACCAAAAGGCTCTTGCGTAAACACAATTTGCAGCTTCTGAAAAAAACAACAACCTGAAACCTAAAACCTGATTTTCAGCAAAATCCTACTATATAATATGTGGTGTCGGTAGTAACCGCATATTGTTAGATTTTATATATTACTTATTTATTCAGACATGGAAAACTTACAGCTAATAACAATAGGATATTATATACAAAATATCAAATATCAGAGAGCCAATTAAGAGTTTTCACTATTAAAATTTACAAAATTTTACAAAATTGCAATAGATTAAAGTAAGGAATGTTTAGTAAGTAAAGTATTCAGTAACTATTGCAAATATTGGCGTAAATAGGGAGAAATTCTTGCGCCCAGCCCAGCAAGATGCTCCGGTAGTTAAATAAATATGCTTTTTAACATATTTTCAAGATATTTGTTTTATAATAGAGGACAGACAAGAACGTGGCTCACTTGATGGTACGTGACATACCCCAACCGCGTAACATCTACCAAACTGCGCTGTCGACCTATTATGGCTTTGGATATTTGGAAGAACTATAATGTTACGTATGTTCTTATATAATACGTACAATTTAAGTCATTATTATTCATTCTAATACCCAATTTTTTTCTCATTCTAAAGAAAATGCGTCAGCTACCTCCTGTAGTATGATGATAAAAAATATACCAAAACATTACGATAAAATTATTGGTAATTTCATAAAAAAGTTGCAGATCGATAAAAAATATAGCTTTATTTTAAAAGGGGTATATAAATAATGGTATTAGAATCTTTAATCAGTTAATTATCAACGTTCTTTCGCACATTTCGTTTTTCGATATGGTAAGACCATTTTAATATAAAAACCAACTGGAAACTTAAGTTATATTTCTTAATTTTATGTACTCTTAACTTATAATATTAACTTCGGTTTAAGTAAAGACGTTTGACAGGCTTTTTGGTTGCAATGTAAGGCTTATAAACAACGGGTCGTGGGTTTGATCGCCATTTGGTCCGACATTTTTCATAATCAATTTATAATTTTTCTGAAACGTGTTGGACTTCATGCCGAAATCTGATATGATATGGGTGGTAGGAATGTCGAAATTCCGTCCGGGTTACGAACCACCGTCCTCAGATCAAAAAGGCACTGAAATTTAATTACGTTACGGTCACCAAAATAGGCCGACAGCGCATTTTATTTAGATATTATTATTATTACCTTCAAATGAACACTATTCGTGTTTGTTCCCCTCTATGATAAAAATAAAGATTTGGTGATAAGTAGTTTAACAATTGCTTTCTAATTCTTGAAGTGTCATAATTATATATGAAAAACTACATTAAAAGTTATTTTAGATAAAAAATAAACGCTACAGACAGAACTCGAACCCAAAACTGCGTCACGTGAGCTATCATTTGAACATCTATGCTTATTAAATTTATCAACACCTCTAAGTGTAATGTCAACCTTAATATTTACAAATAAGTTTCCATTTTTTTAGATTTATTGGATTCTCGCGTTTCTTCTCATAAGCCATAGTCTGGCAGTGCCTGTAGACTTGGAGGATAAAGAAAAGCCTCAACAGACGCCTTTGAAACCTGAACTCGGTAGCTTAAAAGCACCAGCTGATAAAGTGCCCTTAGACAAGTCAGATGACCTGGAAGCTGATCCAAGTGTGTGGTTCAGTTATCACCACAGTTTTAATAGTTACCCGCCACCACCACTGATTATCCCACGACCGAGGTAAAGATATTTTTTATTTAAACATGTATGTAGAACGTGTGGAATTAAATGTACGAGCGAGAGGATATGTGTGTAAGGGACGGTGAGAGTGAGATCAAAGATGGCGAATTAAAATGTTTTAAGAGGAGACGAAATTAAAGATTAATCTATATTTTATAACTTTATTTTGGTGCATATACATGTAATCTGTGTTGTTTACGCGAGTAGTATACATTCAAAAATAATACTTTTAACGGTTTCAAACGCGAAATATAACGTTAACTTATTCTTAGTTTATTTTAACTAAAGCCCGCTTTCTTTCACTTCAAGTAGCGGAAAACACGGACGAGTCAATAATATAATATAATTTATGACAGTACTTGTTAGAAGCTGCAACCTATTAATTAATGTGTTATAGCGCCTGCTTAAAATTGAAGAGCAATTTTGAACGAAGTCATACATACTTGAAAAGTTTAGCAGTTTGATTTATAACACAATAGTGTAAAATGTACAATACAATTACTATGTTTATTTCATTCTGAACTTACTATATACAATGATATAATTTTAACGGCCTCGTTGGTGGAATGGTAGCAATGTACCTATGCCTAAAAACCGTACCAAACATTTATCTGATCAATTTATAATTTTTCCGAAACATCTTCAAATAATGTCTGTAGTTTACGCGAGTAGTACACATTTCAATGAAACAATTTAACGGTTTGAAACGCTATTTTAGTTAAACTTGTTTGAAAATTTTCGTTGTTACGGATGCTTTGCTTCAGATGTTTGTCTCCCCATGACCACGGCTGCTGCAAAGCATCCGATACGTAGGGCCGTAGTTATGAATAATTTTCAAACAAGTCTAACTAAAATATATCGTGTTTTAAACCGTTAGTTTTATTTCAATGTTGGACCTCGTCTCGAAATCTGTATATTAAATGGGTGGCAGGAATACCGAAAGTTTAGTCGCGGTTCAGACAGGTCGACAAAATATCTTGTTATATTATAATGCTTGCCTGTCCTACTCTATCATAAAAATTATTATTAATACATGTAAAAGCTTTATTAAAATCAACGAATTTCTGTTACAGAGTATACAGCTATTATGCAGACTATAGCTACACGCCTTACTACTGGAGCAGCTGGTAAATAAAAATCTTAAACGAGAATATATGTTTTATTTAAACTTTACGATGGTGGTTTTACATCTGTGGCCTGATACAACGAATTAATAGCGATGTCAGATGACACGAAAGCCATTGATTTAGCGAGTGTAGCTAACGACAACGTATCCATTACGACTCTATTAGCAACGTGATTCAATTGTGCTCCCTTTGATTGCGCAGTATATTTTAAAGCTAGTTTAATTACCTTTTCGCATGCGAGAGATTTAGAAGTAGCGCTTTTCGCTTCTTTACCAGCTTGTTGAGCGGCTGTTTTTGCTAAATTCATCATGAGATCCTGGTGGTTCGACATGCCATTTTTAGCATACTTCACTGACATCTGAACCTCAATAGACGCTGTTAGCGCGCGTCTCATAGCAACTACACTAGCCGCTGTTAAGTATGCAACATCTCCAGCATACAAAATTGCTTTTTTGGCTTTGATCTCTAACCTTTCGAGTCTCTGTTTGGTCTTCTTCTCATTAGCAACATTGTCTTCCGTTTCGGGTTGGTCTATTTCCATTTCGGCTATAACATCTGGATTTAGTGTGTAGATCTTGTCTTTAGGATCGATCCAGTCATCTATAAGACTTGGTGCATTCATTTCTTGTGTATCGAGTGTTTGACTATCTTGAGTGACCAATTGAGACGAGTTTAGTTTATTGTGGACTACAATTGCTTCTGTTTCCTTAATGTCATCATTAACCAATGAATCCAAAACGGTTTGATTTAAAAATCCTTTCGGAGGTGATGTTAGGACTCTTTTTTTACTTTGAAGTATATTTAATGGAGTCCTTTTTAGATTTACAGAGAATCTCGTAAAGTTTTGTATTTTAATTATTGGAACTTCGGTAGAAAAGTTATTTCGTGTTGCGGGTGGTTTATTTAAGATAATGTCGTATATTGTAGTGTGCACAGATCTTGGTGTTGAAAGAACTTTATTGTCGTTTATTGATCTCTTTTTCCTAAGGGATAGATCGACTGATTGCTTTTTAGATAAGGCCGAAGCATAAGTTATATCTTTCAATGCAGATACGATAGACACCTCCGCTGCTATCTGTGCTAAGCCATACACCAGTCTATGCAACTCGGGTTCTGTTGATGCTCTTGTGATAGTGAGAATGTGGCCAGACAAAGTCCTTGATATATAATCCAAAATTCGTCTAGTTTCTATAGCTGTCATACCTTTCGTCTTCCCCGGAGCATCTAATGCTTCCCTGGTGATTCTTGTTAATTTATCTTGGATCTCGAGCTTCGAAAGTATAGCTGATACTAGATCTTTTGACATTTGATATAGGGTTTCTTCCATTTTCGGGTTATGGGTAACATTTTTGGTTGCCTTCATTATAGAATTGTCCAGGTGCTTAAGAACCTTGTGCGGTGATGTCATTATTATTTTATCGCCGACTACTGGTGAGTTTAGCTGGTTTTGAAAATCGTGAATTGGTGATATTCCTGCATGGTTCGTTTGGACCTGTTTAAAGAAATATAAATAAAGAAACGGTTTCATTGGTTTACTGGTTAGTGGACTTAAGTTGGCGTTTGGAATGATGTCATCGTCCCCATCCTCGCAGGAACATTAAGGGACTGGTCACGATTATCATTACTAGTTTAGTAGTTTAAATAAAACACTTTAATGGTTTAAAACGCGATATATTATTAAACAGCCGTGGTCACGCATGCGGCAAAGCATTCGAAAGGTCGGGCCGAAGTTAAAAATCATTTTCAAATAAGTTTAACTAATATGTCGCGTTTTAAACTTAAACACTCTCTCCTATGTGAGGGAGGATCTGTGATTTAAAAGTGGGACATAAATAGGATGCAGTAAAGCTATATAAGATAATGCTAGGGTAATATAAGAATTTGATGAGGATCGTGGCTTAAAAATCTACCTTTAACCATAGTTCAAATACTCGTAGCAAATAAAGTATGGATTGTTTGAACAAACAGTTATAACACTGATCAAATAATACTCACTAATAGCAATCCAAATAGAAGCGATTTTAACATTATTTCAAAAATATGACCTGTAAAGTGAGACTATTGCGAAAGAAAATAACTTAGAAATAAAGGTAATCGTCGGTTATAATTGCTGGAGCAATTAGAACAGTATTGAAGGGAGGTCGTTTAAAATAATTGGTGTTAGTTGTAAGGTAAGGTTTAATAAGCAACGTACGCCAGTAAAAATCCAAGGATGCTAAGCATTCAATGGAGAAGGCTTATGTCAAAAGACACATGACACTAAAAATAAATAAAATTTGAATGACTTGTTGCAAATATATTAAAGTCAGCGATTTTCTGGACCTAGACTTTTTTGTACACTATAAAATACAAAATACATTTGTTACTTAAGCATCTATACTAATATATAAAGCTGAAGAGTTTGTTTGTTTGTTTGAACGCGCTAATCTCAGGAACTACGGGTACTAATTGAAAAATTCTTGTCTCCCCATGACCACGGCTGCTGCAAAGCATTCGAAACGTCGGGCCGTAATTAAAATAATTTTCAAATAAGTTTAACTATATATATGTCGCGTTTTAACTACCTTCAAAAAGTATAAAGTATGTAACTATATCTACTTATTTAAAATTCGTTTTTAGACATAAAATATTGAATTAATAGGAATAAGTTTTGGCGCAATTACAGTCTATCTTGAGCAGCAGCACTGCGCCATGGGAAAATGAAATAAAGTATAATCTCTCTGTTAGTTCTATATTCTGTGTAGCTCCATGTCTGAAAGTTAAAACGCATTCTCTGCCTTTATAAATTAGATCAGTAAAACAAAACCCAGGAATGTGTTTGCAAAGACACAGAAAGCCTTGTACTTGAAAGAGACACAAAAATATGTTTGAGTGTCAAACATAAACGGGCCTTCAATGTGACATTTTTCATATTTTTAGAATACTAATTGATCTCAGCTAATGTTCCAAAATATTCATGAGAAAGAATCAGCACTATTCCACACAGACAAAGTCGCGGTGAAATAATTGTATTATAACTAGCTGTGCCCGCGATTTCGTCCGAGTGGATTAGTTGTAATGGCCATCAAAACTAAATGCAAACAACCTCCACAGCTTTATAAATTCTAGCTTGTACCCACGATGTCGTCCGCATCCCGTCGTTCTTGCGACTTAATCTTAAAAGATAGACATATATTGTCTCGGACTTTTGTAGATTAAAAGCATTTAAAGAAGCCTTCCTCGATAAATGGTACCAACATAGAAATATTTTTTCAGTTCGAACCCGTATTTCCTGAAATTAACGTGTTTAAACAAACTCTTCTGCTTTATAACATTAGTATAGATTAACATGCCTTATCCAGCAAAGGCGTTGTACATGGTAATCCGTCGTTTGCTGTGCTCAATTCTTCTATACACATAAAGTGGCCGATAAACGTATTCGCTTTCTTCTGGTACAATCATTTCTTTTTCATTTGTATTGAGAATTACACTCCGATTCAAGCCTAGAGCTTTTGCTTCCATTATTCCAAATCCCACTGACACAAACAATATACAATACGTCAAAACAAATGAATACATGATCACAATATTGAAATAATATTGCGCAAACATTTAAATACAAATAATTTATTGTTAATTGCGCTAATTGTTGACAATAAGTGTTTAATTGAATTAACGTTTTTGTTGTTAGCACATTATCTACGGCTGATCTAGAGATGTGATCTGTGACAAAAGTTATCTCTCTGAAGGTCATAAATATTTAATAATAGAGGAAAAACAAGCATTTGGGTTCACTTGATGGGAGGTTAACCCAGCAGCATCTACACAAGATGCGCTGTCTATCTTAGCTTCGGACACTCGTCGGATTTGTTTTGAGAAGCAATATTATCACTTTCCTCTTCACTCAGTACAGCTAAAATGTAATAAAACAACTAGAACCATATCCATTTTTATTTAATATAAATTAATCTCTCTGTACACCCTTATTAGATTAAAATAGTTAAGGCTTACGCAATGGTTACTTAAAATAAATCGAATCCATGTGATGTCTGAAGTTTGTTTAAGATGAAGTAAGTACTTCTAGAAGTAATCCTAGGGTTAGCCAAGGAAAGCAGGAAGGATCTTAATACGCCCACGGCCGTCTAGCGAGCTCTCTCCAAAGTCAGAGACTTCATTATCTGATGGTATCAAGTGACTCTCTTGGTCCCCTATATCTCTACGTTCTCTTGAGACTTCCACCGGCTTAGATCCAACACCTGCGTCCACAGCACCAGACACTGCACCATCTTTTGTATTTGATTGTGTTGCTTCGTGTTTTGGAATGTGCTGGATCACATCTCCGTTCGGTGCGCATGCGCAGGCCGCTAGCAGCGCGAGTGACGCGACGACGAACAGTGTTACACGCATTTCGAGCGAATTCAATCTTGAACAGAAGTAATCTCCGACTATAAGTTAAATTTAAATCGACTTGCTTATAAATCTGTTTGTGATTACAGAAGATATTAGAGCTTATTGCTAAATACATGCACAATTGTTTGTTAAGTTGAAACTGACGCAGTACGTCTTGGATCAACAGAATATCGGAATCGTAATTCTTAAAGCACGAGTGTTGAGTCACGGTCTCGATAAGTGCTTCTAAAGCGACATCAACGTGCGTAAATTGTAAAAAGTATCAAATAATCAAAATCACACTCGCTAAACTACACTACCTCTATAAAAACAAATTAAGCAAAAATATATATTATTTTCTATCGTTTACCCTAGTATTAATACACATTTGACGGTTTAAAACGCGAAATGTATTAGTCCCCCGTGATCACAGTTGTCGCAAAGTGCAAACGTCGGGCCGTAGTTAATAATAAATTGTAAACACGTAATTAATACACTTCGCGTTTCAATCCGTTAGAAGTGTGTTATTTAAAAACTAATGCATTTGCAAAAAATACCTTATATCTAACACGTCGTAGTCGTTACAAAATTCAAAATGCTCTCGTGTCGTTTACTAAGGTGTTTTTTTTTGGGTAGTGAAAAATCTTCAAACTCCCGAACACCTGAAAGTTGAAACAAACAAAAGAATGACTCGCTAGTAAAAATATAAGATACAAAATAAAAAAATTGAAGTAATTTATAATCAAAATTATTTATTTATAGTTTTATGTAATACGATAAGAGACAAGAATCTGCAGACAACCTCGAATTAGTTTTTAACGCGTCTTTTTATGCAATGAGAATATGCTTGTAAACGATTGAATTAATTAAAAGGCAAATGAAAAACTGAACTAAAAAGAGTCTTAGCAATCGAGGAGGAATTCAAATAATTCTTCAAGCAATCGAGGAGTTAACATCTCCTGATGATGCCTCTTCTCGCTCACATCTGCCGAACACCCCGAAAGACAATGATATGCTGAACGATGGCCGTGAAAGCCTTACACAAACTAAAATTCTAAATAATGTATACATACATAAAACATATCAAAAGACGATAATAATTATACCATACCTTAGTTTAGGACGAGATCACCATAGAATTTTAATAAAATTTATACGTCAAAAACAATTGAAGAACGTGATCTTATTAATTGATTTTGGTGCAGCGTGTCCCTTGTAATCGATATAAAGTTTAGTAGAACAAAGAGCAAAGATAACCATGAACCATCCTATAAATTGAAAATTTGTATGACTATGAATAGATTGCTTATAATCATATGTACAAACATAATCCGTTTTGGCTTATAATTTGTGTACGGAGTGGTTAGTAGCACCATATATATAACGACGGGCCAAATTTGTGACCCTTGGTGACCCCCTATAAGAAATATATATGAATGTGTACTAATGTTGTAATGTGTAATAGTGTACTTTAAGTAATGTTACAAGGCCGAAAGGGCTATTATAGAAGATGAATAAAACAAACAAAGAGTGTGTACGTACAGTACAGCAGTTTGACCTCTTCAGCGAGTTAAGTCTAACCTTTACTATTAAGAATTTGTTTGTTTGTTTAAATGCGCTTATCTCAAGGACTACAGGAGGAAGGCTATATATAACATCGCCTTTCGACCGAACGGTGGAAAATGTGGTATAAAGGGAGGAAATTCATCATCGTTGAGGGTTTCGTGTGCTGCGAAAACGGTTTAGCAAACCAAAATATGTATGAAAGAATGGTTCCTCGTTAAATGATAAAAGTTCGCGATACCAACCGGAACCCAAATTAACCGTAATTGTTTAATTGGTGAGGTTAATTTTAGTACGTTTTCTATTACAACGTATTTTAGTGGGGGAGTAATAAAAGCGTATTTTAGTGAAGTTGAAAAACTTAGGTGGAAATTGAATAGTATTTATAAATGACCCTTCTACTTCAACATATTGTTTAGCCAAATTAAAGTACGTATATTCAAAAATCTGCCAGAAAAATAAACTCTAAACAAAGTAAAACATCAAAACAAGCCTCGTGACATGAGTCAACTTGTTTACTATATGTAGTCATGTTAGAATCGACAAAACACATTCACGGTCATAATGCTTTAGAATATATTGGATCAATCCATTAGCAGGTTCCGCACAAGGATCAAAATGATATCTGGATTATTTAGCACACTTTATTTGTCACTCGTTTCGGCTGTATATAAAACCGTTGCGTTTATTTGGGAGTCATTACATTCAGTGTTGAGTTTCACGCAAGCATGAAATACGCCGTGTTATTGTTGCTTCTTACGACGACCATAATCTACGCTCTGCCGGTCCCAGATGAAGATGCGACGACACCAGTCCCAGACATAGAAGTCGTTGAAATAATTGACTTTGTGCCAGTCGTTATACCGTTGAATGAAGCTACAACAGAAGCACCAGAAGATCAGCCTCACGATGTCCAGAAGAGGTCCGCTGAACCAATGGAAATAGAAAGTATTGACTTGGTAGGAGAGTCAGAGATTGGTCAAGCAGACGACCTTTCAAGTCTTGACAGGAGAATCAAAACTCTGCCAACGTGGGTTGGTTGAAAAGGTTATAATACCAAAGTTTTGTTTAAGCTTATTGTCTTCTAAGTTCTCACAATAATAGCTTCTTACGACCAAGAAAAGGTTTCAAGAAATGTTTGGCCTAAAGGTCGGTCAACTATAATATCATTTATTCTTATAAAATCCAGTTTATTTAATGCTTTTAGGAAATATAACAAAATTTTCTAAAGATAAAATGTTAGTCATATATTATGTTAAAAGTCATATAATTTTAAACTATGTTTTAAGTTTAGCAAATAAGATTTGTTGTTGATTAATAAATTATTTAATTTTTAATATCTGTTTGGTTTTTCACGTATAATTTAAGCGATATTTTAAGGTGTTTAATGATAAATAAAGTAATCAAAAATTATGAAGTTCGCTTTCCACAGAATGACCTAAGAGTTATGTAATCCGATATTTTTAGAATTGGTCTATTTTGGACACATTTGTGTTCGTGAGATGTTTTTAAGGATTACAAATAAAACAAAATTTGTTTAAACGTATGTTTTTACATAAGTCTTCATTTTCAAATCGATTTTATTTACAACCGTCTAGCTACATCTTACAAACTAAATACCTCAGGATCTTCGATATAACATTTGACATTTGGAAAAAAATTACATATTGTACTTGCACACATAGTCAATTGTTTTAAGACATATTAATATCTTTAAAATATATATCTCTCTTCTAGAGAATAGGTTGCTACAATATAATAGACAAGTAAATGTTAAAGAAATATATGGCAGAAATAAAATGTCCTTTTTAACATTTTTGGTTGCGAGAGAGAGAGAGAACCTGTAAAGTCTTTACGTGTGATATTCGTTACACAATAAAATATAATGTCTAGGTATAAATACAGGATTTAAAATTATCATATGCCATTGTGTTAAACTTATATTATATTAAACTTATGTCGAAAATAAACAACTAGATGTCGCTTTACTCAAACTTTATTAACTCAATATTGCTGGCAAGAACTTGGTTATTAGTTTTTATTGCTTCGAATACATTATTTGTAGAACACAATAGAAAAAGCGAGATCCTTTTATAGTCGATGTACAGTCTAGTACTAATATTACGTTTTACGTATACATTTGATATGGAAACCTTAAAACTAGTTGATTCACGTATCGTATAAAAATTGATACTTACTCTAAATTTCTATTACCGCCATAATACAAACGTCTAAGATCTATTCCAATATACAACAATACAAACTATCTATAGGGGTCAATCCTTTTGTCATGAAAATGCGATTAGAGATAACATCTCTTTAAAATAAATTATGGAGAGCATATGCAGGTCCTTCTAAAATTTATCAATATGTATTTTTTAAATAAAACACTTTAACGGTTTAAACCGCGATATATTAGTTAAACTTATTTGAAAATGATTTTTAACTTCGGCCCGACGTTTAACGGTGGGGGCATTTTTTTTAGTAAATTTTGTCTAAATACTGTCTATAGTTTACACGAGTAGTACAAATTTAAATAAAACACTTTAACGGTTTGACTCCCCGTAACCACGGCTGCTGCAAAGCATCCGAAACGTCGGGCCAAAGTTAAAAATCCTTTTCAAATAAGTTTAACTAATATATCGCGTTTTAAACTGTTAAAGTGTTTTATTTAAATTTGTACTACTTCCGTAAACTATAAACAGTATTTAATATGTATTTTTAATATCACGCGTTATATATATATTATAATGTGTATGTATGATATAATAATCGCAATCCTAATACAAGTACGGATATTGTCACTGTTTGCAAAATTTGTTTTTGTTGTGACAAGAAATTTTAATCAGCCCATTACAAATGGCGTTTTTAAAAGACGCACAAAACAGCGAATCTATTAGATAGATGCACATTTTGTATCATCAATACAAACGAAACAGCTAACGCCGAACACGCGCGTTCTTGAGACGAGCATTAATAAAAACGCCGTATGTAAAGTACGGGTAGAAGCGACCTGCCCATTATTTCCTTGCTATTTTCTATTTTTATTCCAATATCATCGGTTCGTAAAAAACTTATCACTAGCCATAAACCTCTAAAATAAAGAACCATCCACCATACAAAAGTAAAATCTCAACAGACTATAAATATACCAACAAACCCTTAGACCGGGGGCCCAATATCATCTGATTATCCAAACCAAGATGAAGAGAAACAAAACCCAATGCTATTTAGCTTTTCCGTTCTTCTTTGAAACCTTAAAACTGCTCTGCGAGGTTATCGAGTTGCTGCTAGAGTCAGAAACGCCGTTCTGTGATTGGCTAGACTTGTTATCGTTGTACCATCCGAACATGCGTTTCACGGCGTCCTCCCATCGGGATATTGTGATGTCGTAGGACTTTTTTACATGCGCCCGTGGGGTGAACACGCTGCCGATTTTACGAAGCGACGTTAATTCTTCTTTTGACTTGAATATACCTGAAAAATTATACTGTACCAATTAGTAAATAATTTACATTCAAAAATCGGGTATGGACTCAGCTGCTACGGCAGGATCTACAAGACCTACCTTAATAGTATTTACAACTTACAGTTCAAAATATTAAAGAACATGAGTTATGTGAAAAATGCAAAGTAATGCATATCTTCAACAAATATAACTTTTTTTTATTTATGCGAAGAAATAGGTCATATCCAAGAATTAGAAGTCAAAAGAAGACCAGATAATTTAAGACCCCTCCATTATTTGTCTATATATGTTCTGCCCCCTTTTAACAATGCTTACGGAAACGTAGGTTAAATACTCCAGCCATATAACATCGCAACAAGATACGCTGTCAAGCAATTTTTCTTCCATTTAAAAATCTAGACTGAAACCGATACATGGCTTAAACTTCACGGTTTTTTGTGAACGTTGGTTTGACGCGGACGTAATTTCGATATCTCTACCACTTAAATTAATGTCCATACGAAATCCAATGTTTCAGAAAAATTATAAATTGATTAGATACATGTTGGGCCCACGACCCGTTGATTATTAGCCATACACCATTAGATCAAAGAGACCCCATTTTTTTTTGCAGTAATAAATTTCTGATTGTTTGTCTGAATAAATAGTTTGAGTTTGAGTTTGATTTGTAAGTCAGAATAGGCTAGTATGACTCCAAGGTTGGATTTACAGGGTCAGGAGGAACAGGGAGTCACTATTATTCAAATTTAAACAATTGGACCACTCTACCTAAATGTAGTCCCACCAAATGCGCACACCCAAGTGATGACATTTCCACTTCAGTTGGTCTTTCCACTTTTAGTCCAGTGAGATCTGCCACTAGTTGTGCCACGAAATCATTGTTTGATACACCGCCGTCCATGCTGAAGAGATAAATCTTCAATTATATTACATAACTCCAAGTTGCCAGACGTTGAACTTAAGTGATAAGGTCGAAATCATGGCGCGCGAATGGTACATGTATAAAAGGATGATCATAGTCAGACGAAAGACACGTACGTCATTTGTAAGGTCGTCGTGGGTTCGAGTACGGACCACTTCATGTTTTATTTTAAACGATTATCACATTTGTATATGTTGTCATTACATGTAAGATTTTACGCGAATATAATACGGCCGATGTAACTTGGCAAGTCTGAACATAGGTAAGACGAACTTTGGCACATGTAAGCACTTGTAAAGAAAACTAATTCTGACATTTATTTTCGTTACTGTAGGTAACATACCAATAATTGATTCAAAGATAATAAGGGCTACGAACACTTATCTTTCACTAAATACAGTGAAAGAATACAGACAATACAGAGACAAGAGAAAAATATAACAAAAGAGAAATAATACTATTAAATTTAACAATAAACAATCACTTTTCTAACGGACTGCGCTCAAGACTGCGTTTAATCGATTCCTATTGAAATAGACAAAATTGGATCGTAGAAATATAATTGTATTATAGGAAGGTAAAAAATAGTAAGTATATAAAGAATAACTCATATTTAACTAAATCACGTCGTTCAATAAAGAAAAACATGTTTTAATGATTTTAATTCATAATTAAAATCGATAAAAATCGATTTCGCCGATTTTGTTGGCAAGGGTCACCGCCCCGAACCCCCCCCCCCCCCCCCCCCCCCCCCCCCCCCCCCCCCCCCCAGGAAATTTTTTTGGGGGGGTTTTGCCCCAAAAAAAACCCCCCCAAGTTACGTCAGCCGTATTATAGCTTGACGGAGCCCACTTTGTATCAGGTAAATTATATGTTGATTTGAAACGCGATGTGTTCGGTGGAGATCGAAACCACGAGCCGTTGATTATTAGCAATACAATGCTACCATTAGACCAACGAGCCCGTCAAAGTGGGGGGAGCAGAGATGGGGAGGGGGTTACAGCAGAGTATTGAAGCTTAGGCTCATGATTGATCGTTATAGTCCCACGACTGGGACTACAGCATAGGAAATCAGGAATTGTAGAAGAAGCCTTCACTATTATAGTTACCGTATAGTAGAGAACGTGTAATTTGTCTCTTTGCGGACACAGTCGTACAACTGCGCTGTCCTGAACGCGATCGCCTCAAGAACAGCCCGCACCAGATGCGCCTTGTTCGTCGAAGGCTTCATGCCGACGAAGCCTGACGCCGCTGTGCAGTCGTTGTACGGAGGCTGGAAGGATAAGACCAAATTAAAGCACGATAGCTGATGCTAACTCCTAAAAGGACATGTACAAGGTTTATTTAAGTAAAATTCCGTTTTCCCCGCGGGTCATGGGGCGAACACATTTCTATGTCCATTTAACTGATGTGGTGTGTGCCCTGCCCGACCGAGAAAACATTATATTTTACCTCGATTTCGAACCAGGAGCTCTCCGCTTAACCAACACGGTTAAGCATTTAGCTATAGAAGCAGTTGAAGTTTATTTATTTAAATAGAATTGATATTAAATACTGTCTATAGTTTACGCGAGAAGTACACATTTAAATAAAACATTTTAAGGTTTAAAACGATATATATAAGTTAAACTTATTTGAAAATTAAATTAAAAATTATATTTTAAAGTGTTATATATTGGTTAGCTTATTTTTGAATTTAATTTAAATACGGTACGATGCTTTGGCTGCTTTGCAGCAGCCGTAGTCGCGGGGGGATTAAAGATGGTGGGTCTCTAATTCAAAGTTAATTGCCAATGTTAAAAAGATAAATATATACGCAGTTATTGTTTTTCTTGGCACGAATTCGATATTGTGTTTTCAAACATTTCTATTCAACAGTTAACGTTGTGTAAAATGAATTTATTTTCTCTTTTAGGGTACCAACTGTTTGTTCGTTCTTCTTTGTTTAAATTAACTTAATTCGCTTGAACGATATTTCATGACCCGGTCGTGATTTTATCATTACCATTTTAAATCTAATTTCCCAGATAAAATGGGTGTAACCAAAGTGTGTACCCAGCTGTTTTGACAAGTGCTACGTTAATACTTACACCAAGACCGCTGAACGCTGGTATGAAGAATACACCATCTGAGTCCGGCACCGACATTGCAATGTCAGCTGTGTCTTCGGGATTTTCAAAAAGACCTACAAAAATGGAAAGACATAATGTATATATGGTTTGCGAGACTGGTAGACTTATTAATTTGTATATTAGTACACTATTTCATAAATAAAACAATTTTAAACGGTTTAAAACGCGCTATTTAGGTTAAATTCTTTAAGTATTTACTGACTACGGTTTAAACCGTAGTTTAAAAATAAATTAACTAATAAATTTCGCGTTTTAAACCGTTAAAAGTATTTTATTTAAGCAGTTCTCTTCGATTGAAAATACATCAAAGTGTCAATAGCCTTATAATATAATATTACGGTTTACCTAAATTATGCGCCCATTTAATTATACTAGCTGTGTCATTATTCGCCCCTTCAGCTGAGAAGACCAATTCGGGTCCAAGTCTCCACCCCACCACAGGATATAGACCAGATACACTTGCATGAGGGGAACCCCCCGTGTTTATGTTGAAGAAAGTCCCAGTTCCCATGGTGAGTTTCACGTCCCCCACTTCGAAGCAGCATGAGCCCCACATTGAAGCAGTTTGATCGGCTATCTGAAAAAAGTTACTTAGTCAAACGTGGTTAGGTGTAGTCCGTTAAGTAATTCACGTACAAAATAGGGGCACATGTTTGGTTTGGTTGAAAACTATGTTCAGTTACTAGGACCAACTTATTTGTGGTTTCCATAAACAACTAAAAAATTATCTTTGCATTCATCCTTAACGATTTAATTCTATACTAATATTATACAGCTGAAGTGTTTGTTTGAACGCGCACACTACTCATTCGAATTGAATCGCGCATCGACAAATAGAGGCGGGAAAAAAGTAGGAATTATGGACAAAACTTGTGTGCGCTGTGAAAACGGTTCAAGATATCCAAAAATATGTATGAGGAAATGTTTCCACAAATGAAGAAAAGGTTCGCAGGAACTGATTTTTGATGCACAAAATAACTTTTTTACGCGAAAGAAGTCGCTGACGAAGTGATGACCCAGCTAGTTATATAAATACCAACGGTTGCCTGGAAGACATCGCTTTATAGCGTTAAGGCCGCCCATTGCACTCTATAACTGGTAGTCATTATTTTTTTCTCTAACAGTATAATTTTTAAGAGTATTGTAAGGTAACATATTAAATTTTTGTGTGTTACAATGTAGAGTTAAATAAAAAAACAAATATATTTGCAACACAAACCACTACGCTAATATCTTTATAACTGAGTTGTTCAACTCTCCAAAGGGGTTGTCCATTAATCACGTGAGGCTTGAAAGGGGGGGAGAGGTTTGATAAAAATCACGAAAAACACAAGGGGGGAGGGGGGATATAGTAAGATATCTCGTGTATTTATGTTTTTCTTCAAACGCGCGATTTTTAAACAAATGGTGTAGTTTTTATTATGTCCTTCAAAAATAGTTAAGTATACCTGTATATTATTAAGATAATATTCAGAAAATTTTAAGATTCTTTGTAGGTACTAAAAAACGTGACCTGATGGGGGGGAAGTGGTCTTAAACCTCACTACGTATCACCAAAGGGGGGGGGGGGGGTTTAAAGATTCAAAAAAAAGGTCACGTGACTAAAGGACAACCCCAAACGCCATAAAAATATAATTTCTTCACAGATTACTCACACAACTCTTAATAGGAATAGCCTGTCCCCATATCGCTGGTGCTGTGCTCGTGAAATGGTCCCCAGCGGTATCCACAACCATGGGCAGCATGTCCGGAGATATCCCAAACAGGGACATGGCCCAGCCCGCCCATTGCATGGTGAACGGGTCGAAGAAACCCGTCGCGGAAGCCGACGACACATCGGACATGTGTATTTTTTTATCTGAAATGTGTATGTGTGTGTAGATGACTATTAGAAGTTCCTTGGTAGCATATTTTTAACGGATAAAAAAATGTTAAACTCGCGACGCTGTCCGAAAATTCATAAGGCAGGCGCAGAACAGACAATATAAATTGGTTATTGTGTATTTGTAATCTTATACATTATAATACTACTATACGCGAAAGACACATTTACAAAAACGCTTTATGGTTTAAAACGCAAACTATATTAGTTAAATAGTTTTTTATTTATTTTAACTACGGCCCGACATTTCGAAAGCTTCGCTTTGACGTTTAAAACCGTTAGAAAGTTTATTAAAATAATAGTACGTTTATATCAATAATTAAATTGACTACTATTTTATGCAGTTGCAGTGTCTGCACATTTACGCTAATAAAACACTCCATGACCAACAGCTGCAAAGTATCGAAAACGTCGAATTGCAAATATTTTTAAACCGTTAAAAGTGTTTTATTTCAATTCAATTCAAATTAATTAAACCTTAAGTATTTACATACATTGGTTCGTTCTTATACGATGGAAGCATAATATTTGTGCGAAACATTATAATAGTTTCCCACTGCTGGGAAAGAGATTGTTAGTAATACGTAATTTAGTAATCGTTCGTGACATTGTAAACTATATAATCACATTCCGACTGAAGCAATTTAATAGCTTTTAACCTTAACCGGTTTTGACATTACCTTGAATATTTATAATTTTCACATGATATAGCATGTGAAAATGATTACAAATGAAATATACTAGTGTTGTATGCAAAAAAAAATACGTTCGTGAACCCTTAGTTGGTAGAGCAAAAACACAATTAATAATTTTAAAAATAAGTTTTTCAGGCTGTTCGGCCGACGCGAGCGAGGAGAGGTTCCCGACGTTTCGCCATCACGAGCGGGCGGCATCATCAGATGTTAGCCCCTCGATTGCTAGAATAATTATATCGCTCACGTCGGCCGAACAGCCCGAAAAACAACGATAAAAATAACAATTGCTAGTCGCGGGTTCGAGTCCGACTTGTGACGTCGATGTTTTTCATACTTCTAATATAACCTACCTGTCATTTTATACAACAGCCACGAATCCAAAGTACCGAACATGGCGTCATTGTTTTCAACGGCCGATTTCAACTCGGGTACATTTAGTAGAGCCCAATAGAGTCGCAGTGTTGTCTAAAAATAATGTATGTTAAACCATGGTTCAATAGTAAAAATTGTAGGCGTTAATGGAGAGAAACCTGGGTATTATATGGGTGGTAGGAATATTGTAATTCCGACCGGGTCACGAACCACCATCCACAGATAAAAAAGCTGTCGAGTTTATTCGCATTTCGGTTGCAGTCTGGATTTTCCAATAACCAAAGCCAATTAGGTCGACAACTTATCTTGTGTCATCAAGTGTAAAAATCCTGGGTTCGAAACTCGCAAACAAAATACATTTTTAGGCCTGACCACAATCTGCTTGCATGAAAACAAAAATCTTTTATTAGAACATACAACTAAATTATTTTTTCTTATACATATGTGTGGAAAAGGAATTATTAATTTTTTATTAACTTGAAAGCTCCTTTTTCCACGTATGGACTTTCTTTGTCCGATTTTCTATAATTATACCTACCTACTAACTAAGTTACATTATGTATAACGTATATACTATGTAAAGAGATAAAATAAATCGCGCGTGTAAAATAACCGAATCGAATCGCACTGATAAACGTGGGATATTTTATTGCTTAACATTTCTTATTATATGTATAAATATATATTTATATTCATTTATTTAGAATTTTACTCAAGCCGCAACTACGCAGTACAACGTAGCGTAGCCTTATCACAATCGAGCTATCTATTCCAGTCATAGTATGCTAAAATGTTTTTACATTCATAATTTAAACTAAACTTAATATGTAAATCTCCTACTAAAAGCTTGTATCACAAATATTATAAGCAAACGCTTGCGTTGTGTATTTATGGTACATTTTTAAGTAAAATGACTTCACTTATCTTGATAAAACGCAATTTTACTACAAGAGCATATAGCTGACTTCTATAAATTAAATAATTCATCTAAGAATTGTTAAATTGGTGAATTATTCTATATATATTTAAAAAAAATCAAGTTTTCCTGAACGTCCGAGAACACCTCATGACTATGATGCATTATATACCGGATAATGGATATACACCGTATTAATGTAGGAGGTTTTAGATTTGAAGCCGGGAGAACAGTTTTGATCGGCCTAGGAAAAGAAAGGTGATAAAAAGTCAAACAGACACAGAAACGTGTTTGCCCCATGCCCCGTTAAGGGCAAACTAGAATTCACTTTGTGTGCATAGATTCGGATTTTGTAAGAATTTTTAAATCGCGTATAAATGCATCGCGGTATTACGACTTAAATTTGTACTATCCTTTTTTGTTCTTACCAAGTATTGCGCATTACTCAAATCGCTCTCATAAATTAACCTTAATACAGTGAAGTTTTTGTAATACTAACGTAAATTTCTCCAACGACATTGAAGGTCATAATATATATAAAACTAGAAGGGCCTTTACATAACAATAGTTTTTATGGCCTCCGCAAACATTGATAAGGTTTTAAACCAGTTTTATGCACATATTTTAGTGATATTACGTTGAAACAAATATGCATTTCGTGACTATATTATATTGTTTTACTTAAAGTAAAATTATATCAATAAAATCCATTAAAAGTAAGTACAAGTACCTAGAGTTTGTTCATTTGTTTGAATGCGCGTTTAATCTTAGGACTTACTGGTGCTAATTGAAAAATTATTTTTGTGTTGGTTACCTATACGCTATAAAAAATCGCGCTGTGACTAACAATATGTATGAAAGAATGATTCCTCTTTATGATCTAAAAAAAGGGTGTGCGACTGTATCTATCTTTTAAGATAAACTTGCAAAAACGACGACGACAGGATGAGAAGAAAGTTTGCAACAATTTTTGTTGCCCAAAATAAATATTCTACGCGGACAAAGTCGATGAAACAGCTAGTTTATCTATAAGTTTTGTAAATGTTTTCTTGTAGTTTAAACAATAACAATAAATATACATTTCAAATCACAAGAACAGAAAACAATTTACTTTGTAATATTTGAGACTGTTAATGACTATAGCTAGAAAAAGTGGTCAAGGTTAATTGTTTAAAGATAGTACTAAACTTAAACATAACTTATTCAAATATTTGTGTGAGCTAGTTTGGGACATAGTTAAGTTTGGATTTGTTAAAATGTAAAATGTATGTTTCCTTTAAGTATTTCCCACTAAGGTTTAACTAGATATCTCTCAAGAAATTACATTGCTTTTAACATTTAATTTGTGGAATACAATGGTCCTAATAGTTGAAAACTTTACTGGAATATTCCGATGTTTTAGAGTAAGGCGTCGACAAACTCAAAATCTTACCTGATTATTTGAAAATTTGAAAACACTTCCAGCCTTGAATCGCTTACTTCTCGATACCATAAAGAGGACATATGCACCTACTTTGATTAGCTGGAACAATACCATATTATCAATATTTTAATGCTGACAAATAAAAGATTTTGATAAGATTGATTGTGCATATAAAAATACAATAAATTAATTACAACCTACCTTCCACAGATAAGATTCGTTCCAGTGTTTCACAAGCTTATCAGCTCTTAAATCCTTCCATGTAATAAATCTATGAAATGGTCTCCCAGATTCTCGAGACCACGTTATAAATGTGCTTCGCTGTGTCGATATTCCCATTGCAGTTATTTGACCGGCAGTTAACTTTGCACCTGTTAATTTTATACACAGCTATACTATAAATGACATACTTTTACAGACTAGAAATCCAGGGTTCAAATCCTAAAACAATAATATCTGCTTCAAGGTTCCAGTGTACAGTAGTCGGTTTACAAACTTACTGGTAAAATAAAATTGATTATTGCAATAGTATCAGCTGACATATGGGAAAGAGTTATTTTAGGTTAAAAAACGGAGCTTTAAGAAATCATAAAGAACATACCCTGCAATGCATTATTGACCACATCAACAACAGAATTCCATAATTCATCAGGATCAATTTCAACATATCCAGGTTGGGGGTAGTGTAGAATTACCTAAAATATATTTTTCTTTTATAAACATTTTCTCAAGAAAGATTTTGCAAAAAAAAATTGTCACTAGTCACAAATAAATAAACATCAAATGGTATTTCACTGGTTTCTCACCTATATAATTTTTAAAATGCTAAGGATTTGGTAATACTTATTATATAATTAGGATAAAAATCAAAACATGTTTTGTCATAATAATAAACATTAATGGGATCAAACATGAAATACTTACATGATCAACAGCCTTAGATACAATTTCTGTTCGAGAATTATAAATGAAAGCTCTTATAGTCGTAGTTCCAATATCTAGCGAGAGAATATATTTTTCCTCCATTATTTTCGTATTTTGCATTATCCTATTCACGCTTATGCATAATATTAGATGCCTGCAACGACACGTCTAACCCCGCACGTAACAGCAACACAAATGAAATTTGAGAATATTCTCTCAACAGTTAGGGACACTGTTGGCACCACTTTGTATGGAATTAAGAAAGCGATTTTTTAAAGTTTACTATACACTGTAAGGGCCATTTCGAAGCAATAAAAATAATTTCATGTAAATATAATAATTTGGCACAGGCGTCGTTGCTATAACTACGGTACAAATGTCCGAAATTACTGTTGTAACTTTTGATATTATTTTAAGTAATAAACAATATTTAGAGAATGTTATATTTGTCTCTCATTTTTAAAAACAAATTACGAAATCAAGTCCAGCAGCAAACCGTCATTCAGCTGTTACTGACACAACTAACATAAATATTGTTATGTCAGCTGTCACAATTGCTGTTAACGTCATTCGATTCCATAAAATCCAAATCAAACCTAACCTTTTTAATTAAATTCAGTCAATATAGATGCAAAAATATATTCTTTTAAGAATGTTATTTTTTATTTCTTTGTCATTTATTATTTTATACTAGTAACCTTTTTATAATGGTATTCAATATTATCTGTCTTACAGACTTAAATAATGTGACCAGAAATAAGTTTTTACCCCATCCTTAACTAAAATATTATTAAATTCGTTGTGTAAAATCTGTGTGAGCCTACAAAACCTCAAACTTACTAAACCGTATTACTTTACCTCCATTTTATGTCTAATAATTAAAAGTTAGCCCTTAAACAGTTTTTAATAAATTTAATCTCAGTATAATATATATAAATAATTATCATTATTAGATTGAATATAATTATATTTCTTATTTTTTTGGTAGATCATCAAAACATTAATTTACTGTTTGATATAGGGTGTTCAGTTTTAAGTTTATATGCTGAAATAATCTACTATACAATCGAATAATTAATGTAAAATATAAAGCTTGGTCATTTGACATACACATACATCACTCTAACAATATCGGCAAATTACACATTCTGTCATGGTCATACAAGATTGACAGACAAGCGCGTTTTGGATCTTGGAGCGCAGAAAATTGTGATGTAAAAAGAGAAGAATAAATGTTTGTTGATCATCATGGCGAATCCTAGGAAGTTCAGTGAAAAAATAGCCCTCCATAATCAAAAGCAGGCTGAGGAGACGGCCGCCTTTGAAAAAATTATGCGTGAAGTTTCCGACGCAACCAACAAGGTATGTCGCGAATCGCCTATTTACTCAGACAATCGCTTCCTGGCCGTCAGTAGTGCTAGCCGACGTAAACAATAATCGCTAGAATATTATGCTTTTTGCGACTTTACATCTCTCACGATAGTATACCAGATGTTAATAAACGGATCCTGTACACTCTATCGTAACTCTTAACTCTACTGCAACAATAATAAGACCCCTACTCATGTTTTTCATTAGAACTTACATTCATAACAGATAAATAAAACACATTTTTTAATGGATTACGTCTTTTCAGCAAAATTTCAATTTTATTGTTATTGTTTATTTGTGTCACTAAAATGCATCCCAGTTATGAGTTAATAATGTAAGTTTAAATAAAAAGTGAACATTAACAGTGTTGACTGTGTTACATGTATGTATGTTGGTAATTGTTGTTTTTGAGGTTTAGTTTGTATTAGAAAATCCTGGAGGTAATTGATTACAGGTGAATTCAAATAGTAGAAGAGCAAGAATAAAAGCTACAATAGAACTGACTGATAAAGTTGAGTCGGAGATTGTACAAATCCAACAAAATGTGGGTTCGTTCAGAAGCGGTTCACTCCCCTAATGTTGCCGCTCCACAACCCGTCACAGAACCAGAGATTGTTAAGGTTTCTCTTTTAGAGATGAAACAATTTGTAGTCTGTTGTCGCTAGTCTTAATCAGCCTTATACATTGAAATATTGAAGTCTTTGCTTAAACTGGGCAAAACGTATGTGGAGTACAAAATTAAGAAATGTTGAAAGTTGTATTTAACCTCTTCTCATGACGTCATATCAATAGTTAAAGAACTTAAACTATTCTAGGGTCAATCTAAAGTCTGAAAATAAGGCTGATTATCATTCATTTTTTTTTCATAGCTTACATTATTACCCTATTTAGTATAACTAAGTGACATACATTCCTATTGAGTAGATAATTAACTAGTTTGCTAAGTGTCATACGATTTTATTTATAGTTTTTACAGCATTGTCTCGAGGAATTTATTATCCATTTTAAGTCGTAGTGAGTCCTTGAATCAGTTGGAGCTGAAACTTCAAATTAATTTTATTTGTATTGTAACATGTGTTCAAGTTTTACTTTGCTGTACGATCATCTGTTCATGTGAACGGAACATGCGCTTATATCCTGTACTTTGTTATTAATGCTACTTAGAACTATTTTTAGATCTACAGGGGAATGTTTAAAACTTGAATGAATTATGTTTTATTATGTTTCTTTATGGCATGATTCATTAGTACTCCATTAAAAACTTTTAACATGTTTATGAGTTCTGAAATAATTTATTAAATTAAAACTCATGACCTTGACCCGCTTGTTTAAGCAAACATAGTTGTCTCCGTTCATGTTAAAAGTTTAAGTAAAAGTATGTCAAATATGGTATTTAAGAATGTCTTGATTAATTATTGTTATTTCTATGTTTATACAATGTTTTAGTATTTCGAAATAAGATGTTCATCTTACATGTTTGTGAAATTGATTGTATTTAAAAGGATTATTTTTTTATTCCATTCAAAGTTATTAATTTGGAAAGGCCTCATATAGTGTATGATATTTTAAAGTATTGTTTTCTAATTAGAAAAATGATCTTGTCCACAGCCAGAAGAAGCGCCACTAGTGTCACAATACACAATGTCTGGAGGGCGGAGTGGTGGTATGTCCCCTACGCCCCGGTCACCTGGACAGAGGGGCCGCACTTCGTCATCTGTGGGACCTATGCGAAGGCCGGCAGACCGCAAGCATGACACTAGTCCATATGGTAGCAATGTTTACTTGAGGTAAGAATGGATTAAGGAAATTGTATAATAAAAATATTGTACTGTACAAAAGTAACCTCAACATTACTTAAAATAGGCCACTAGAGGCGGAGTAGCCTAACTGCAATTGTATAACGTGACTTATTTATATTTTTATAGTCTAAAAAATATTTTAACATATTTTTTACTCAAATAATGATACAAATTTAATTTGGCCTTATTAAAAGTAATGTTTTTTGTTATTAGCCCACTTCTGCCTCTAGCAGTCTCATATAAGTTTAATAAATTCTATATTCAGGTCACTGTCAACTAAACAAAGGAAAGTAGAAAAATAAATAAATAAATCCTAAACGTCGGGTCGTAGATAAAAATTAATAAATATCACGGTGTAAACGGTTGAAAGCGTTTTATATGCTATACTTAAAAACCAAAATAGATTTTAATTTAATGATATCGGATTTCGGATCAACTAGATATAAATTAATTGTAATGCCATTAAAGAAAACTTAAAAGTAATTTGATATTGTTTACCTTGGTTTTGTTTCCTTTTTAATTAATACTTTACCGAATTGTTAAAAAGTAAAAGGTGTCTAAAAGCCAAGGACCACCAATGAGGTCGAAAGCTATTTCCCTCAATCATATTTCTTAAAGTTCACGAAGGCACTTTGATTCAGCATTTGATACTATAAAGTAAAAAAACGATACATACATTACAAATGCGATTTTGTTAGTTGATCTATGCGCAAAGCCATTTAAAACGTTTTGTAAATTGGAAAAGTTAAAAAGCACGAACCAAAATCACACCTACTGCGCATCGTGCAAGTTACAAGTTATCGTTTAAGTCAGAATTTATTTAATCATTTTTAAATACAACACTAGTGGGAAAGCCCGTTTCCCCTTCGTGGGGCATGGGGCGAACACATTTCTGTGTCCATTTCACTAAACCGTTCTTTTAACGGGCAAGTGATCAAACTTCTGTGCCCTGCCCGAACGAAACAATTTTATGTTTCCCTGGAATTCGAAGCCAAGACCTCTCGCACTTAACGCAATGCTAGGCAATACGTTTAACCATTTGGCTACAGAGGCAGTGACAACACTAACGCAAGAAATTTAAACTTTAATATTTAAATATAAAGGTTGAATTTCCTGTATGCCCATTGACAAGGTATTTTAAATTCATGTTAATTTTAGGTTCAAATGATTCCCTTTGCATAAATAAAATTACGTCCGCCTCAAAAAAGAACCCACTACAGGTATTGGCTCGAAGTATTAAGGCACGGAAATTAATTTAAGGTTAAAATCTTCCTGATTTTTTGCCTTGTACATTTAAATTTATTCAAAACAACAGAACCAAAAAACAGTAGATAAGAAGCAGTTATTAATATTTCATTTTTATTAAGTAACTCACGCGTATATCAAGAATTATTATCTCGTTGTTAGTAATTCAAAACAATGCTTTAAATTTGTCTAGTGGTTTGTTGGAATATTACACGAATACCGCTAGATAAACTTGTATAATCTCAAAACTAATTCATGGATACGCACGTAAAATTACAATCGAAACAAGTTTTTTAGGGTTCCGTGTCTCTGCGGTTACCGTCCACATATGAAAAAGCTGTGAAGTTTAATCGCGTTTCGTTTTCAGTCTATATGGATTACCGAATATCCAAAGCGAAAATAGGCCGACACGCATCGTATTGAGATTTATACCCTCCACTTAATCATGCCTGTTGCCCTCTATTAACAAGGTTAAATTTAAATTTGTGTTCTTTCTTTGGTACCGACCTCGATACCTTTGTCGTTTTGTATATGTTAGTTCTTTGGTTGAAATATAAACTAAAGAACTGTATTTCGATACTAATATGTCATCTCAAACCGATTTCGATCAGACATAAAATATGTTAATTATGTACTCTGATCGCTTTATCCTCATAACACCGTAATGTTTGCAGAACTAGATTTTACCTCGTCGAAACCTGCCGAATACATTATCGTATCCAAACATCCCTGAATTCGACGAGCATCGGCTATTTAGTTTGATAGAATTTCTATTGTCATTCATTTGAGGATACCTCATTCATTATTAATAAATTTATTGTTTGCACACACAATAAGTACAGGAAACAATTCGCGCCGGCATTGGACACACTGTTCTTGGACTTGGCTTAATCTCGGTCCAAGTTGCAGGTCAATGGACTTTATACCTCTTACCAGTTTGAATAGAGGACAAAACGGCACGACACTATTCTATTTACGTCATAACAATAGTATTATTCACATAATTATCAATTCTCAATTATAAAAAGAAGCAGTTTAGTTTCCTTCCTTTGAGAACGGAATAAAGAGATTGTGCATCTGGTTATAAATAGTACGTTTGGAGGGAGAGTTAAAAAATATGTTAAATTATAAATATTATATATTTTTTAATGCTAGAGGGGGACAAACATCCATTGCTGAACCATTTGAGCTTTGGATATTCGGAAATCCACAGACTGCAACCGAAACGCGATTAAACTTCACGTCTTTTTCATCGGTGGACGGTGGTCCGTGACCCAGACCCTTAATTAATAATACAGAACAATTATAAATTAAAAATTAGGAACGTGTTGGATCCGGTGAGTATAAAACCGAGGACCCGTTGATTATTAGCAATACATTGCTAACATTAGACTAAGCAACCCGTCATAAATATGACTGTTGTAAAGCACGTCGGGTTCTAGACTGGGCAAAAATAGCTCATACAGAGCTTAGTAGGTAGTCTAATTCATTACAACTTTACAGCATATAGGTAATAATCATAAATAAAAGATGCAATTTATTTACATGGAAGAAACGGCATTTCTAACAAAAGAACCCTTATGAAATATATGCGATTTTATATCTATAATGAAAATAAATGACAAAAAAATATGTAATAAAGATTTGTACCTAGTCACCAGTCCGGAACCCTTCGTGACAGATCTCACTCAGACTTTTCCGGATTTTTTAAATAACTTATGTTTTTGCTAAATTAAATAATTGTTTTCGATACCAGTCGTGTTTCCTCTTATACAACGTATATATACCGTTTTCTAATTTTAGCATAAATTTAAATAAAACATTTTCAACGGTTTAAATCGCAAAACGTATTAACTTGCCGCGGTCACTGCTGCAGTCGGATCGTAGTGAAAAAAATTGTACATAAGTAACTAATATATTTCGCGTTTTGAACTGTTAAAGGCGTTTCCTTTAAATGTGTACTACTAGCGTTAACTACAGACTTTGTTAACATATATTTTAATTTGTGTGTTTAAGTCGTAAAAACGTTTTAAGTTTTAAAACATTTTTTTTTTGTACAGACGGGTTATTAAAAAACATGTTTTGATCTGCTCAATTAAAATAACTGCTTGAAAATATCAAAAAGACGGCATTTATTAATGTATTGAATTTGTATCGCTCTTATCGCCAATTCTAATTAGTACTAAATGAATGATTCGTATATTTCCTATGAGGATATAGGCCAACCGCGCAATTGGGTGTGTCACATGTCATTGATTTTTTAAAGTCATACTGGTTTAAAATGTTAGCGTATGTCATACAAAAAACATTAATTTAAAAGCATATATTAGTTAAACTTATTTGAAAATGATTTTTAACGTAAGTACGTATGAAGTTTGCAGCAACCGTGGTCACGGGGTCTCCCGGTAATATATCGCGTTTTAAACCGTTAAAGTGTTTTATTTAAGTGTGTACTACTCGCGTAAACTATAGACAGTATTTAAATATAACCTTTTTTTTTTTTTTTTAAGTTTTTTTTTTTTTGGGTGGTTTTTTAAACAAGTGCTTTTGTATTAGTCACACAATGGTAAAATCGGATACTTAACTATTACCAGACTAGTATTCAATATACACTTTATAATAATTTACGCCATCAATAGAGGAATGAAGTATTTTAGTGTGTATAGATGGCAACACTGGTGCATCTTCTAATGTTATCACTGTCTTGTTGCAGTCCGCCACCAGACAGCAATTGGCGGAGGACGAACAGCGATTCGGCGCTGCACCAGTCGTGCGGTGAGCAGCAGATCACCGCCCCACCACTGTCTCCCCACCATCCATTGCATTCCCACGCGCATCCACACATGCATCCGCACCAGAACCATAGACGAGGTACGGCTACAGTTCATTGACAGCAATTTATGTGTATGTTTGTCTAAACTCAAAATACTACTGGGTACATAAAAAAATCTTTCACCATTAGAAATATATTATAGCTATATTCACCCAAAGTAACATAGGCTATATTGAAAAGATTAGGAATCCTTAACGTTACTTTAGTAGCGAACCCTAGGCATAAAAAAATGGTTTAAAACGTCTTTCGTCGCATGCGCAGCGAAAAGTAGTGATTATAGAACATAAGAATGTGATACGGTTTTTTCAGAACATATTTACAAAAAATGTCGCGTCAGCATATGTCGAACTGAAGTGTGTAAGAGTGAAATGTTTGTTTACTACCAGTGCAAAGGCGGAGCGGACTACTAGTGGTTTAAATAGAAATCAAAATTGACAGAAAGCAACAAAGCAAACTTGGAAGAAAGCAACAAAGCAAAATTGGAAGAAAGCAACAAAGCAAAATTGAAAGAAAGCAACAAAGCAAAATTGGAAGAAGGCAACACAACATTATAACTAGATGTAAGTACAGCGACTTCGTCCGCGAAGAATAGTTATTTTGGCCATCCAAATTTGCAAATCCTCCTCTTCATCTTTATGAACTTGGAACCCACCACGTCGGTCGAGTCTCGTCGTTCCTGCAAGTAAATCTTATAAATTATTCAAATACTTAACCAGAACTGCGGAGTCTTGGTTTAACTCTCAAACCATGGTCTAAATGAATCTAAATTGGTCCATAGTTAGTCCAGTACAATCGTTAAACTTTGTTTTGCAATATGGATTACAAATAAACCAGGTTTGAGAGTTAGTCCTTGTTTTGCAATAAGAGTGATAGTGTCGCGGACTTTTTTACATCGCTTACATGTCGTTACTTGTTTACATCGTCGTAAAGAGGAAACATTCTTTCGTACATATTTCGTATCTTAACCGTTTTTCCAGCGTACGCATCAGAAAGCCACAATATTTAATTCTGATATTAGCGCGTTAAAACAAACACACTCCCCAGCTTTATATATTAGTATAGATAAATACCTAAAACTATAAATCTCAACTATCTCTATAGCTAATCAATACTTCATACATTCCCTTAGACATGGTTTAGAATGTATGAAAGATTTATTTGTACGCTTTGTATCAAAGTAAGGGGTAGGTGTTTACTTAAGTATCATTTTTTAATTATGTACGCAATTTTCCGGAATAATCTCATTTACATTGAATAGTCATAAGAAAACTTATGACTCAACAGTGCAAAACACACCTTATCGCCTGCCAACAAGGTCCACATTGCAATAATACGCGACCATTGGCATTTATATTTTTTTATCGCCTAGTAAGTAATGCGTAGATCTTGGAATGAATGAAGTGAATATTCACAACTGTTATTATAATGCATATCTTTTATTGCGTCTAGTACTACGTCGTTATGCTATCGTATTTTGTTTCGCTGTGCTTGATAATTCATTTAATATTCGAAGATTAGCAATAACTGGGACATAAGTCGATGAGTAAACGTCGTATAATCGAGTATTCTTCCGGTTTCTGCGGTTTGGAAATATACAGTCAGTAATTTTTATAAAGATCTACAGAAGTAAGCTACAGACATGGCTTAAATAGGAATGCAAAGGAATTAACTTAAAAATTAAGCCTAAGTTTCGACAGATAGTGTTTCTGTACCTTAAGCTTGTGTGTCGTCGCCTCGTTGGTCTACTGGTTGTTCGGGGTCTCAGGTTCCAACCCTATGTCGGAAAACATGTTCGAGGTGACCCACTGCGAGCGGCAAGACGAGGATCAAGGATAATCAAAAGGAAAAACTAGGAAATATTTTCGAATCGTTTTAAAAATAAAACACTTTAACGGTTTAAAACGCGATATATTAGTTAAACTTATTTGAAAATGATTAACTATGGCCCGACGTTTCGGATGCTTTGCAGCAGCTTGCCACGGCTGCTGCAAAGCGTCCATTAAAGTGTTTTATTTAAACGTGTACTACTCGCGTAAACTATAGACAGTATTTTATTTCCGAATCTTTTCTAATTTCGGCCTATTTGAAATGGGCATAGGGAAATACTCCCTGTATTGGAGTCATACAAACTTGTTCCTGGAGCTCCTTAAAAGCACCATAGTGGGCACTAGTCCACGAGTTCTGGCCGACTCTGGCTCTGGTAGGGTTGGTATTACCTGCTTAAATACAGATCGAAGTCGTCAATCCTGGCTATCACCACTAACTTAGTAGCAGTAGTTTAAACGCATACTGGTAAAGCATGGTGGGTCTACGCTCTTAAAACTCGCTCCTTTGCGAAAGGAGTCCATATCTGGAGTCTTCAAATCGAGCATATTATGTCGTGGACCAATTTGTGAACATGGTATCAAAGTGTTGGTTTTGATAGTACCCCCACATGACTCTAAGTTAGAATTAAAATCTCCTAAAAGTTTTAATCATAGATATATCTTTATTTCAGCTGCAAACATCCACTTAGACGTGCTAGCGACACTCGGCATGAGTCCATCGAATCGTCCCCGGTCCTCGTGTGAAATTCCAAGAATACCGAATAACAACAAGTAAGACCGTGATTCATATTGCGCAAATAGGACGATACTATTATTTAACACTATTCTTGGAAAGTACTGTTAGGTCATTGGACTCCAAACCGCCTAAGTAAAGTTATAAAAGAAATAAACTAGCCAAGTGAGGTCCAACATATTTCTACTTAAAATTATAATTTTTATAAACGATGTTGCTCTTCAATTGGAAAACTGAATATTGAAAATGGCTGTATGAGCGCTGTCTAACAGACGAAAAGTAAGATTTTGCTAAAAATCAGTATTGTGGCACAATTGTGCTGTGACTTATGTTGACGCAAGACCCTTTTGGCGTCACTTTTGATCACAAATGAAATTTTATCTTTCTGTATTAATTATTTTATTGTAGTTACATTTATTTCTTACTAACATTGTACTAAATGAACGCCAAATATAGAGATTTATTATTATCAAATGGCTTGTAGGAATATCAATTTTGTTTGGATCACGAAGCACCGTCAAAAAAAAAAATTAACAAAGTACCTTTTACTATTTACCTGCTATATCGAGCGAAAATAGACAAAAAAAGTATGTTCCATTTCGAATTTCTGTAATAATTTTGTTTGTCCACGTCTCGCATAGTAATAGTAGTAGTTTAATCTTAATACCTCGTTATACTTTACCTTACCTTGTATAGTCATTCACTTTAATTTTAAGGTAGTATTTTTATACTAAATTACCATATTTTTCTCTTTCCAGCGTATACGAGAGTGGCGGGGATGGCGGCGGAGGTGGCGGCGTGAAGGGCGGCGGTGGAGGGGGCGGGCTCATGTGCGGCGAGCTGCAAGTGCCGGGGGGCTCGCTGCCCGACCTAACCTCCGTGCACTTCCCGCCCCCGCACTATCTGCCACATCGGACCTCACCAGACTACCACCACCATAGTGGGGTAAATATCTATTTTGTTTGTTTAAACGAGTTTCAACACGGCCTCTCTGATAATTTAAAATACATTATACATCATATTTTTTATCAACTACACCTTACAGATAAAAAAACATAATAACAACAAATTTCCACAATGAGATTTAGTACCAATGTACCCTATTTAAATAAAACACTTTAACGGCTTAAAACGCGATTTATATTAGTTACTTAATATATACTTAAACATAAGAGCACCGTCACCCACGATCCGTTGATTACACCTTCGCGAGAGTTTTATTTAAATGTGTACTACTCGCGTAAACAACAAACAGTAAACTAGAATAAGCATAAAAATTACCTTTTTTAAATTACGATAGTTACAATAGAAACCATTATTAATCTAAAATAGGATTACATTTTATTTTATTATAAACAAATCTTTAAAATTAAACCTATACATTAATGATACTTCAGTTATCTGAATGTGCAGCAGTGTTAAGGAAACCAGACCAGCCCATATACCGTCAAATACCTTACATATTAAAACATTCAAAGTACAATGTCGGTTAGATCGCTTTTTACATTGAAAGAAAAGACCACCACATACCGTCCTTATAGGACAGAACGACCTTGAATTTGTGTTTCTTTATTTGTTTTACCGTGGGATAAACGATGGGGAACCCCCGCGATTTATTTATAGCACTTTTTCCAGAGCCCCAGTTCGCCGGGTGCGATATCCCCCGGCGGAGGTAGTATATCACCCGCGACGGGGGGGCTATCCCCCGCGTCCGGTTCACCAGTGGGTGCTACGGTCCCACTTCCCAACATGCACCACCAGCAAGACCACACATCCTTATATGACACGCAAGTAAGTAACCAAAGCCTTGTAGTTTAACATATACATTTTTTTTAATAAGTCATAGTGTATTTTTAAAGACAAGATCATTAGTCCAATGATGGCAAGGTATGCCGAAACTAAGAAACAACAGTTCGTGGGTTCGATTCCCACTAGGACCAACGTGTTTCTAAAAATTTGTTGTTTTCCTGAAATTTTACACTTGGAAAGAAGTAGCATAGTAGAGTGGATTATCAACAATCAAAATTGGTCGACATCGCATCTTGTTTGGATGTTATGTAGATGGGGTATCCTTCCATTGAACCACATTGTCCTGTTCTGTCCTCTCCAAAAAGGTTATGTGGGACCAATTAGTGATTATGAGAAATAATAATACCCCCAGTAGTGTAGCTTGTAGTTCAAATAAAATGCTATTTAGTGGATACAGTAGGTATCACGTAACGCTTGTTTTGCTGAAAATGTAGAACAGGAAAAAAACTGTACGTGACGTGTTGTATTGTTTGTGTGTAGTGCACATTAGAAATCGAAATAGGACAGATAATTGGTTCATTAGGGAAAAAAACGAAAATTACCATTCCCAAATTATTATTGTTTTGTGTACGTGTTTAAAAAATAAAATTCATGCGTGTGCGCATCTATCGTGATAATAGATGGCGCTGCCCTCCATTAGGAGTATAGATAAATTATTGTTATTATAGTTTATTTTATTTTTATACCTAATATCGATTGATAATTAAAATTATACCTAGTGCAAAACAATAGTACCTTCAAGTAGGGTCGCTTTGTAGTGGTAAACGTTCATTCAGTTTGTTCTGTTGTAATTTCCGTTATGTTTGCTTTATACACGTGTCATATTTTGTTTATTTCAGAATCACTTATCTGTACCAAACACAAATAATTATCTTCATCATAGTAAGGTTCGTTTTTCTTTTATAACCTTTTAATATTTTTTTATTTTTGCAAATAATCAGTGCTTTACGCGGATTTATATCATTCTATTCAAAATACCATTTATTTGAGGAAGACTTAACATGCGCATGCGTCGCTCAGAAAGTCTCGCTTTTCATAACAGCGATAACAATTTTCTTGCATTCAAACGCTTTTATATATATTTCTTCTATTTGCATCCCATTTTTCACACATTACATTAAAAATTTAAAAAAACACAACATCGCTTTGTTTTTGTGGCCCTGTTAATGCAATATTTTTCAAGGTTCTTTAGATATATTATGCAATGCATGGTTAACAAAATTATAATTTCCATCGAAGGTACCAAGATATATCTGCTTTTATAACGAAATTCTTTAACTAATAATCGATACAAGTGCAATACGACTTTTTATACGCCTTATCATGCCTACGCAGATTTTTAATCTATGCTTGACTCATTTATTTTACTAATAAATATTTCAGTCAGCATGCACCGAACAAAGTTATAATTCACTAAGATGATATTTCAACGTTGAAGCTTTCAAAGACTGTTCTTAGTGAATAATAATAAAAACGACCTTTTTAAATCCACAATAAGCTCAATATATTATACTTGCTCAATTTGTAGCTATTGTCTTGAAGTTATGTCAATATTAGTAGACAGATGTCAACGTCAAAAAACCTCTCAAAGTCCACAATATTACAATTTAAATAACAACAATATAATTTTGTTTTTATTATTATAAAATTACGAACTTTTCCAACCATATTCTTCACTTACCTTAACAATTTAATTTGAAATTTGGTTTGGTTATCTGGAACCAATGAAGGTATTTAATACCTTCGGAACACTTACAGTCACACACTGAAGTCAAATGTGGTTAGCATATTGTTTTTGTTATGGATTTTAAAAGGAAGTATTAAATTAAGATCTTGCGCTTCTAAACTCTCACATTTCAACGATAGTGTTTAATTTGTTTTTTATAATGTTCCAGAATATGTCACCGTTAGACCACGGTTGGCTCGCATCGAGTTACCAGCCCCATTGTAGTCCACCCTCACAATATTCATCGACATCGAATATACCTTCACCCACGGTGAGTTTCAGTTTCAAAAACTTTATTGCCATTATAGTATGTTTGCGTGCCTAAAAAATATAAATAATAAATACTATTTCCATATTAACATGAAATCACCCAACTGTCCACATAATCGTTAATATAATGCAATGAACGTGTAGGGCTAATAAAACATTTTTAATTTATTTTCAACCATTTACATATTCGTAATGACATGTTAATGTTAAAATACACATTTTGTTCATTTCCTTATGAAATGTTAGGTAGAAAAATTATATATTTACAACTGGTACTAGTAAAAAATACATAAGCACGTGATACCATTAAAAGTTAGATTCTATGTTCAACGAAATTAAAAAGTATTCAAACTGTCTATAGTTTACGCGAGTAGAACACATTTAAATAAAACACTTTAACGGTTTAAAACGCGATATATTAGTTAAACTTATTTGAAAATGATTTTTAACTTCGGCCCGACGTATCGAATGCTTTGCAGCAGCCGTGGTCATGGGGAGACTGTCTAAACCGTTAAAGTGTTTTATTTAAAAAAAGTATTCGAACATTGGTAAATCTAAAAAGTTTTTTATCATAAACGCATTTTTTTTCCTTACAGATGGCCCACAGTCCCGGTAGTCCTGTAGAATCTCCACAGACTGACTACAGTAATCTTCACCAAGTGCTCTTACAACCCTTCGAGCAAATCACAATGGTTAGTCCCTTGTATTGTCTCTGTTTATTCTTAATTGTTATTTTTTAATTTTAGGTTAATAATACACATACAACATATAAAGATTTTCAAGTATGAAAATAAATAAATGTTGCGGAAAAGAATAAAAATATTATAAACATAATCTTTTACCACTGCCATACCTATATGTCCATTATACATTAGTTATCGAAAGAGATGTCTGTATTTACAAACAGAGACAACAAATAGTGTGCAGCATTGAAATTATAAATCAGTTTGTTTAAGTGTTGTTAAACATATTTTTTTATTTTAAGTTCTCTACTTACCGTCTATTCTAGTATAATTATATGTTAAATAACCTTGTATGGTTTTACATTCCTGTTCGTTATCATTGTGTTATGTAAACAAGATTTACACAAATTGGTTTTAGAGCCTTCATTTTTTTCTTTGCCATTTACAAGAGTTTGACATTTCAATGCTTCAATGGAAATAGCAGGGAGTTGTGAGTAAATTTAGTGATAAGTTAAATAAATGACGCTTTTAACGAATAGGTATTTGCAGTTCACGAAAGCTTGAAATTTGGCGGCAAAATGGACATAGTCATCAGACTGTTTAAATTTTTGACGTTTTGACATATAGTCTGTGAAGATTGTATTTCTTTTTTACACCAGCCAGTCCAAAGAAATTCCAGCAGTCGTACCCTGAAACTAAATAAGGATAAAACAGATTCAATAGTGATTTCCTCACGGTTAAGAACAAAACACTAAAGCGTAGTTATTGCACAACGTAAATGCACATAATAGACAATTGAAATACATTCCAACCGAAATAGCAGAAACTTTAGTCAAATGTACACCTGTCTCGCTCAGTATGTTAGCGGCTGAAAGGGACAGGTATATTTTATTGACGTTCTAGTGCAGACAAATGATTTCGAGGTAAATAAATCGAGTCCATATCGTTATAAGCTATCGACCGCGTTACGTAATTATTTGTTTTCGAATTGGTATATTTTTGGGTATGCGATCAAGTAATGCTATTGTCTCTCACTTCCAAAAATATATGGGTTGTAATAAAATGTCTCAAGACTTTATGTGCAGAAAAAATCAATATTTAAATAAAACACTTTAACCGTTTAAAACCCGATATATTAGTTAAACTTATTTGAAAATGATTTTTAATTATATAAGTATAAGTTTAACCAATATATCGCGTTTTAAACCGTTAGTGTTTTATTTAGATGTGTACTACTCGCGTAAACTATAAACAGTATTTAAATCAATATTTCATTCACACAAAAGGGTACCATTAGTTCCTGTTGTTCTATGTGGTTTGAAATCTCCTATATTTGCTGTAGTCTTTTGCCAAGTTAAAAAATATACACTATCGGTATATATATATATATATATATATATATATTTATATATATATTATAGTATATAATTTCAACTTGCGTCCCGCAGAAATACAAAACGCATAACTTAGTACGCTATGTTCGTTAGTGAACCGTATTCCGTTAAGTTAAGATATAAAATTCCCAAAACAAATAGTAACGTATCGGTCGTTTGTATGTGGCAAAAGTAAATGTGTAACATTGGTGTAACGTTGGCCAAGGACTGGGCGCAGTTGGTGCAGAGTCTCGTGGAGTCCGGGTGGACCGCGCACGTTCAAGTCGCGGAAAATGTACGACACATAACACACAATATTACATTGTATCCTTATATTTTACCTTTTGTTCCGTAGTCGGATCTTAAACGAATTTCAAACATTTTGGAAATATTCATAATGGAGTTTTAAAAGGCCCCAAGTGACATCTACTTGTCAATAATTAAAATCAATAGTAGTAACCGTTTGAAACGAGTTTTTTTTAACTTAAAGCTATCATTTTTTTGTATAAAAGTTAACAGATATGCATTTATTCCTCTTTTGACTTCAAGCAGGTCACGATACTTACTAGTAACTAACTAATGGAAATTATCTACTATCAACCATATTAACAATATATATTGCACTTTAAGATCATTCAGTAAGGTCCAGATTTGCTTGTAAGACAAAGTTATTGACGTTGTCAAAATATTATCATTAAAACATTGGAATTATTTAACCTCTTATCTCTAAGACGTTTCGGACGTTATGTCCAGCAGCCGTGGTCACAGTCACGTCCTCACGTAATTAAGATAAATTAACTACTATATTTCGAGTTTAATACCGTTAAAAGTGTTATAATCGAATAACCAAAAATGTATTTATAACCAGTTCGTTAAAGATCCGATCTCAGCGTACATTAAGACGCGTACGTTTCACTCTTCCTTTGATTAGTTACAACTTTGTCACGATATTGTTCTCAATCACGTAGCGTTAAAAGGAATTCACTTTTTTTACGAATGTACCTTATTTTGTATAAACTGTGGTATAGAATTACTACTATTAGACAAAAGTGTCTATACCACAGTTTTTATTTTGTATGTATCCAGGTTTGATTTAGATTTACTCCGCATGCTTATAATTATTGATGTTAATCGTTATTTTATATAGAAATGTTCTGTTATAATTCCAGCTTTTGCCATAGTAAAAAGCTTTATTTTAAATTCAGTATAGAAGTTACGAATTGATTTGCATAGACGCATTTCAAAACGCACACAATCTCTCGATTCCAACCTTTGTTCTCGAATATTGTGTGAAAGAGAAAAAAATAAAGTCATAGTTCGTTCTCTTTCACTCATTATTCATCTGGAATAAAGTGCTTTGATCGGAACGTGCTTTTTATCATTTAATGTGTGGTTTTTCAGGTTATATTTTTTATTACTTTGTAGTTTTTCAGTATTTCACTGTGATTGTTAGTATATGAACTGTTCTCTGTACAGCTGGACCCACCAACGTCAAGTTATAACACGAGTTATATAAACCACAGTTCTCCACACTCACCTCAGACAACGAATACGCAACACACATATTCAAGGGTGAGTCATTAGGTCTTTCTTCTACTCTACTAATATTCTAACTTGTTGTTTCGGTCGGGTAGGGCAAATAAATGTAATTAGATCTAGCTTTAGGTTCTTGCGTTTCTAACTCGGCTTTATTTGGATATTCTCCAAAATGACGTATTTCCGTCGCTTAACGAAGTCTAGTGATAGCATACTCAACTCCTAAGTGGCCACGTGCTGATTCGTTTGTTTTAATTGCACAATATAATTTAACTATCAGCAGAATAAATTTAAAGACAGAACAACATTAAATTCTCGAATTTTTTATTATACCTTTAGGACAACACTAAAATTTATTATTAATTTATTTACTCAAAACAAAAATATATTAATATTGCCTACTAATAGTTTAAGCGCCTACATGTTTAAAAAAACTTTATTTTCTTTACTTTATTATGTTATATTTGAGTTTATTTAATATGTCGCGTTTTTAAACCGTTAAAAAAGTAATTTAAGTATGCTATAGCTATTTATAAATTGACAAATGGCAGGCGACATGCGGCCAACTTATTTACTCAGAGCAAACAACTCCGGCACTCTCAATCAGTGCATCTAATACAGTTGAATATTGCCTTGACTTTATCTATTTTATCGCGTTATAAACCGTTAAAGTTAAAGTATGCTAATTTGGTTATGAATCGAAAAATGGCAGGCGACTTGCGGGCAGAACGCGAGCGGTATGCACGCGGCGACGCACACGCAGACGCACACGTACCCGCAGGCGGGGACGCAAAGCAGTGTCGAGGAGCCGCGGCGCGCCCGCGACCCCGTGGCGGGCGGGTTCCCCATGCAACCGTTGCCTTCGCCCTCACAACCCCCGACGCCAGCTACCCCCGCGTCGATACCCGATATCATACTTACCGGTGAGTAACAAAACTAATAACTAATAACATTGATTAAGTTTCTTGCCAAGTCACTTAACGGACTACGCAGAACTTATTTTGTACGTTGTTATTCATACGTCTCTTTTGCAACTACTTATTGTATATATTATGCAAAATAGTTATTAATCTCTTCTTTCAAAAATTCTTCTATTTGAAGAAAGAAAGAAAGAAAGAAGAAGAAAGAAAAATTTATTTACTACTAGGGCACATAAAAACACATGTTACACTTATTACTAAACATAAAAAAAAAAACAAAACATAATTTTGTCTTAACAATTTGCAAATGCTTTTTATGACATTTCGGTCAACTTTGCTATTAGTCAAATTTATATTTTTTTTATAATTTCAAAAACATCAATGTGTTTGTATTTGAAACTCTGTTAAAAATCCCCTAAACATTTCAGATTATTCGGGCGAACTAGACGCGGGCATATTTGGCGGTGAGGAGGCACAGCTCCGGGCCGGCCTCGACCTGGACGACTTGACCCTACTGGAGGAGCCCAGTGCGCTACTACCGGACTCGTCGGTCGAGCACGAATTTCGACTGGACCGCCTCGACCGCTTGTAGTACAGTCACGTGACTTATGCTCTCACAAACACCGTCAACGGATGCTCGGAATAAGCCCGCGCGACGCGATCGACCTTTTTTACCCTTCAACGGAAAGAACAATGGCCAAAACTGACCAAGAATGACAAATTTTTTTAAACCCAATACGTATCAAAATAAAGGCAATATAATAAATGTCAGTCAGCCGAAATGTCATTCGATAGAGAGCCGATGAGAAATCATTTCGTTACATATAAAAAGCAAAAAAAGTCATTGTATATTAGACGTTATTAACGTTATTTAGCGATCAGTTCTATATGCGAACTCTATCGATACTTTCTGAACCAATAGATAAAAAAATACATTTGGAAAAAATTCCGTATCTTTTTATCTTGCGTTATTAAGAATATTTCCTAGTAGAAAAAAAACTTTTATTTTTAATATAACACATTTGGTCGCCGTCAGGTACGATTTGGCTATTGTTCTTTGGCATTTAATTTTCTATCTCTTTCTTACAATAATCGTGGTCAAAGCAGCGTCGAGCGATTTTCTATTGAAATCGCGCGTTTGTCTATTCGATTATATATTAACGAAACAATTGTAGCGTGCGTAGGATTTGAAGCCGCCTATTTATAACAAGAGATAGATTTCTACAGATGTAGTGATGAATTTATTCAACGTGAATAGTTTGTCTTTAAAGAACTTTTAAAATTACCAAAACATCGCTTCGCGCGACACCTTTTCAGACGACCGACTCCCTATACGTCATGACAATTTGTATAGTTTCAAGTCTGAGTTAGTGAATAGAGTTGTGGCCGATACCGGCGCGGATTGTGATATGGGACGGCGGTGACTCATCACACATTCCCAGCGGGGCGTGGCTGCAAGTTTAAGGGAGTGGTGGGGTAAATTAAAAAAAAAAGTTTGATTTAAACCAAACTGGCATTGTCTTTTGTATACCTTATATCACTTAAATCGTGACTCCGCCTCAAAAACTCAGTATCACACACTAAACTATCTAAATACAGTAGAACCAGTTTAATATCACGCTTAATACGATATCTTGCGTAATACACGAGTCCAAACAATTTAAGATACTTTTATATGATTAATATAACGTTAATGATATAAAAAAATACAGATCGATATTGTGAAGAAATATAGCAAAGTTTAATAAATTTACAAGAAATTTGGCTATATAATATGTGAGAAAAATCATCAAAATCTCATATCATCAATCAAATCTCAAATCCGTTAAACCAAAATAATTGATTATTTTAAATAACGTAATTATAACACACTGCGTATTACGTGTAATTTATAAATATCCAATTAATTACCTACATATACCAAAATTATAGCATAACACAAAATATGTAGTAAGTTTATCCCATCCCGCATAATACGCTAAAAAAAGCGTCTATAGTCCCAGAGAAAACGTCTAGCGGGTTCTACTGTAGTTTTAATGTGATCAGTAACTCGTATGCCACGATCCCGCTTCGTATACGCCCCCGTTATGGGCGTTGCGTGCTATCGTATGCGTGTGCGCAGACCGACCGGTGCGTCTGTGCGCCAAACATTTAAGAGGGTGCAAGTGTTCAATATGATTTTGAATAATTTACTCGTTTTAATTCAATGGGTTAGGTAAGATAATTAGATTTTGTAACATTCGATAGGTGTAAATCATTAAGTGAGTTTTTTTAAGTATTGTGAATATGTACTCGAATATCATTGGAGAATTTACATCGGTTCTAACACTTTCGTTCTCGACACGGCCGTTCGGCCATTCTTGTAAATAGAAACTTGAACGTGTTCTCTAAGGAAATTGCATTTAGTCGCTGGCGTCGCATGCTTATGCACTTTGGTCAATCAAACGGTTTTATCGATATTAAAAGTATTCTTCGTCCCCTTAGCCCGTTCGATTTTATTTGTAAAAATCGCCCGCTCCGTTTATCCGACTTTGTATTTAGGTGATATGTTTTAAGATTGTAAATATTGTGAAATGTTGAATTTTAATAAGCTTTTGTCGCAAACATATCTATGGGTGTGCGTGTGCGCGGATGAGAGTAATCGAGGTCAATTTTACGACGAGGTACTAATTGACAATGTACAAATTATTTCATATTCGTTTATACTGAATTCAGTGCAAATATTTTCCCCTGTTACAATAAAATAAATAATAGTGCTGTTTTTTTGAGTAGCATTCGTTACAGATACAATAAAGTTATAATTAGATTTTTCTTAATTACAAACCATAATGCTCTTTATGCAATAACGATTGATTCCTTTTAAATAAAACACTTTAACGGTTTAAAACGCGATATATTAGTCAAACTTATTCTCCTGTCTCTGTCTCCCCGTGACCACGGCTGCTGCAAAGCATCTGAAACGTCGGGCCGAAGTTAAAAATCATTTTCAAATAAGTTTAACTAATATATCGCGTTTTAATCCGTTAAAGTGTTTTATTTAAATGTGTACTACTCGCGTAAACTATAGACAGTGTTTGATTGATTCCTTGTAACATCAGTCGTTAATCGAAGATATAGAAACACATTTTTCACTATGTTTGCAAACACTTGACTAGGTTAATCAAAACGAAAGTTACCTTGCGAACACATTGTACAAATTAGGTGTACGTTTTATTTTGTTAATGCTCATTTATTACGTGTTAAGAGTCTAGTCAACTTTCAAAGGATAATTACCAATATTTGCAACTATCCGATCGGAAAAATATCAACTCTTATAGCGCTATTATTTTAAGCTGTAACAAAAAGAAGCGTTGCTATCAACTGGACGTATAAAGAAATAGTACCCTTATTCACTGGAAATAAGTTTTAATTTTGAATTACGCAATGGTTTTGTTCGTATATTAATTTAATTTTACCTCCACCTTCCCCCCCTCCCCCCAGGAAATATGACTAACACTTTAAGGATTCGAGGTTTGTCTAGTTATAACCTAGCTTTTATTCTTATATGTTACCCGTTATCCAACGCAATCTTAGATATAATTGAAGACATGTTTTGTATTATATTAAATTTTATTATGAAAAGTTATTTACAGAACTTCCCAAAGATGGTTAATTTTTCAAAATTTATGAAGTATAAATAATATTATAGTTCGCCTATTGTCAAGTTTATCGTGAATATTCTCGTACCGCCGGTATGCTATTTTACTATGTTGACTTATACAAAGTTATGAAACTGTATGACAGATTGTACATATACCATTTGTGATAAAGGAAATAAGCACAATTGAAACGCCTAATGAAACGTTTAATTTCAACCGTATATTTCAAGATTAGAACGGCCAAAAGGCAACATTGAAATTATATAACAGAAGGAAATCTATATTATTTATTATCTGTTTCATACGAAGTTATTAAAATAGTTACGCTTCAGATCTGTTCTATAAGTAATTATTTTTACTTCGAAAGCATAATTCTAGAGTTGAAAGCATTGCGCTGTAACGAATTTCTTGTATTCTAAGTACACTTATTAGTTGTAAATATCGTTTGAACGGAATTGTGTTGTCGGGTCCGACGTTTAGTATCAGGTTATCTTAAGGTTGTGAAATCTTCAAGACTTTTTTTCTACGCCGTTTAAGGACCCGCGGAGAACACATCTCGCCAAACCTTGCATTGTCATTTGTACCTTATTGCATTTGAATAAGCGTTATATTTGAATGCAACGATACACCAAGCAGTGTGATCAACACAGGCTCGTTAGATGTATATGACATTAAATATAAGACAAATGTTTCTTCTCAAATATGCACAAACTTATTGAGTACTTTTGCAGTATAATGTTTCAGTGGTTTGTTTAATTTAAACCAAATGTACATATTAAGTGTGATAGAGATGAAAAGGTCTCATTTAAACAATAAAGTTGTTGTAAGTAATCTGTGCTTTTTCATTTTGTGATCGTTTGAGTAACCTCGTTAGTAAACACATTTCTGTCTTCGCTTTACTAATCGATTTCATACACTTGCAAGAAGTTATCAGACTTCTCTGCCCGACCGAAATAGTTTAAGGTTACCCCGGAGTTCGAAGCCTGGGTTTCTTAACCATTTAGCTACGGAGGCAGCCTGAAGGGAGTAGCCGAGTACTTCGTTAATATTATATATTAAAGCTAATTTATAATATTTACAGCCCAATCTATGATTACACGGTACGTGTCAAAAGCCTAAATGGAAATGACTTGTTGCTATTTTAATCATAGACTGCGCGAAATGTGTTTTACGTCTTAAAAATAAGTTATTATATATTTTTTATCTAACTTTATCTACTCTATTCCAAAGCGTACAATAATACAAATATAACCTTTAAACTAAGTACCTTTTTTATATTCCTCTACCTTTTCTTGTATATTATTCCTTTTTATTTAAAAAAGGAACAATATACAAAACCTCCTTTTTATTAGAAATATAAAATAGGATGTCAAATTAAACGCTAGTTTTTCAAGCAAAGCATCATGCGATTTGTATTGTTATTACTCGCTTTTGGATTCATCGTGAATGCAACATTCGGAAGACCGTCGCAGGGAGCCGATAGAGAAAGGTATTGAGAGCACTTTTACTTAATTTTAATTCACTTGGAAGTAAAGATAAAAATAGAGTTAATTTTAAACACAAATTACAGGGACGACGAAGCGGAATATGAAGAAAAGGAAGATTCTGCTGCTGGTGATTATTTGAATAATGATCCACCTGACAAGGTACATGAGTAATGTATTCAGACTTCAGCAGTCCTAATCTCCTTAATTTTCAATGTTTGAAAGATATTTCTATATTTAAGATCTCCCAGGAGGCTGACTCAAGTAGATATGAAAACGAAGAAGAAAGTATTGAAGGTTCTCAGGACTACCCAAAACATTCTTCTGCTACAAACAATGAACGTGGAAATGTAAGATAACTCTTCACTTCGCTTTAAATAAACAATTTTCTTATATTACAATGCTCCACAGGTAGAAGATAAACTTGAAAGCTCTAAAAGCGACATATTCAATCAAGCCAATGAAGAGGACATGCCCTTATCCGAGCAACACCAATCGAATGCAGGAAATGATGAAACAGAAGATGATTCAATTCGTTACCAACAGACCTTATTGAAAACACGCCTAAATGCGTTGAAAAGACAGGAAGAAAAAGCTGACGACGTAGAATTGGGATTAAACGATAGAAACGCAATACATGACCGACATATAATAAAAGATAGAGGAGAATACAGCAACGATGCAATCGAAGCTCCCGAAGAACCAGTCTATAAACATATAAGGTATTATAATCAGATTCAGGGAAATGTTTTTCAAAAAAGAAAACCCAACAACATTAATACAAATAGGGATAGACGAGAAATTTCTAATGATCATGTAGAAAAAGATATTACCAATGATAAAAATAATGCTTTTAAAAAAGACGAAGCTGAAAGTACTAAGGAAGATAACGTGTCTGCTATAAAGAGAAACATTAAAAAATTATCTAGAGAAGAACTTGAAGATCTCCTCAATTCACTTTCTGAAGATAAAAAAGCTCTTTTGAATAAAATCATCGGTAACAAGATTGCATCAGACAGTGTCAACAAACGGGAAATTACAAAAAAAGCTGGAGCTGTCGAAGATAATAACTGCATGGATGGTGGGCAATCTGATTTCAATAAGATGGACAGTCTGCAGTCCATGGATTCCATTTCCTCTGTATCACAGCATATGGACACAACTGAAACAATGAGGCAAACAGACGGAAGTGGGGTTTCAAAAACCAAAAATTCCGAATCTGATAGCACCTCATCTAAAAGTGAAGGAAAAGATGAATTGGTCGACGAGAACTTGCGACTTAATCCAGATTCCGGGCAAGGAGTAACTGCCCAGATTTTAGAGACCAAAGAAAACGTTGGAAGGGATTCCTTAAAGAGTGAAAACAAGAGAGAAACTAATATGGATGATGTTCCTCAGGACAAATCTGAAAGTAATAATGAACCTTCAGAATACAGTCATTATGATAACTTATATAAAGATGTAAATTGGGATAAAGATGATAACTGGTCAGAATTAATGAAAGATGAAACTGAACTGCATCAGTCATATAATAACCAACACAAAAGAGATCTAGATTATTATGCTAACTCAGCTGATGTTAAATCATTAGAAGACTCTTTTCCGAACTACGAGTCCGTTGACTCAAAATCTCCTGGATCTCAAATGGCGCCCTTAGTAAGAGTAAAAAGAACAAATAGTAATATTGTAAAAAGAGCGCCGGGACATTGTTCAGATATGAAAGTACCGTTTTTTCCTGGCGCAATAAATGACGATGCAGACGACAACGAAAAAGATGAATTCGATGACGGTGCTGTGTTTGAGAATTCCTATTCCCACGAGAAAGTGGGAAAAGAAAAACAAGTATCTAATAACGAAGTGGGCCCAGTGCTTAGAAATCGGCCGAAAATTACATCCTGCGATATGGCTAACATCGGCTCGGACACGGACAATATTCTGTCTAATATAGAAGAGGTTGATAATAATTTAATGTATAATAATAATGCTATACGTAAAAAACGCTTTTCTAATGACGCTAATTTAAATAATGAAGATAATTCACTACCTGAAACAGTGTTACCCAATAATGAAGATTACGTATCAGATTTATCCTTGAAGAATAATAAAGTACATTACCAGGAGAATGACGCTTTTGGAGCTATACCTCACAGCGAAAATGAGCTTAGTCGGTCTAAGAGGATAAGAAGATTGAAAAAAGCACCATCTACACACGGAGACTTACAAGAATGATGCTTTAATCTTATATGCGATAAGAATTTTTAATTATTTTTATTACATTCACGTAGTTACTATTTACTGTTATTTTTAATAAATTTGTTTAAGTTAAATACAATATTTATTGCTGAATATTGATTTGTTTAATATTTTGCTTCAACGCGATAATCTTATCACTGCATATCGAATTATAAGAAAAATGAAACAACCAACCGTTTATAACAAATTTATTACATGGCAAAGTTTTCATAAATACAATATATTTTTTTAATCATAAATTATATAAAAATTCGCAACATTTTCGTTAAAAAATATGTTTAAACGTTGTGTTAAAGGCACATTACAATCTTAGGACTAGTGATGTTAAATTGCAGCTTAAAATATATCAAAGCTTCATAAGATAGAGGTTAGGAATGATATAATAAAAAAGGAGAACAGCTTTTGCAATCAATTGGTTATTAGGACGTCCGTTCTGTTATTTTCTCTGTATAGAATTTATGCTCGCGCGAGTCACGGGAATGTTTGTATGGGGTCCTGGAAGAATCCAAGAGTGTGGCGGGACACGTCCCATGAACGTGGGCTCTAAACTCTTGTTTGTAGCTCGTTCCACCACCATCGCCTAGAACGAAATGTGATGTATTTCCGTGACGTGCATGGCGTTCGACTCTTTCCACTCGTTCGCTACGCTCAACTTTCTGGGCTTCTGACTTTGAGAAGCTACCGTACCTAGATTCTGATTGACCATAGAATTCACCACCAACGCGAAGGTTGTCGTGTACGATAACCCGAGGTTGTCTCTCAGTCACCATCGTGGATTGTCCGTCCCTACGTTGCTGACGACGCGAATCAATTGTTTCGGAATGCTGTGTGTTGATAGACGTGTTATCCTTTCCCGATCGATGCATAGAGCTGATACTCTTTCTGTCAGTGCTTTGATTAGAGTTACTTATATAATCTCCACGTTCTGACAGGTTACTGATACTTTTCCGTTGGGCAGCCGCTGTGGAACTCGTACTATGATAGGCTTCTGTGTTGGAAGAGATGCCTTTGCGATGCAAGACTGAGTTACTTGTATTGGCATCGGATATGAAGTCCGATGTACGTTTATGATATCCGCTCCGATTTGCATTATCTTGATGTGAAGATGAATTATCACCACCGTGCATTGCTCTTTGGAACTCCACACTTGTTTTAGTTACGTTGTCGCTTAAGTGACTCCTGTTTACGGAGTTATGAGAAATATTACTGTGGCTTACGTTCTGTTCACGTCTCTCTCTGGAAGTGTTTGAAACGTCCGAACTATGCATGTTCGTAGTTTGATAGTTGTGTTGATGCCCGTGATGGAAGTTATCATTAGTATTCCTAGTTATAGTAGAACTGTTGACAGTATTTTGTCCTCTTTGAATTTGATCTCCATTGATATTATGTCCTGAAATACGCTGAGAATTGTTGGTATTACTGGTAGTGCTGTTTGTTACATGAGTAGTTTCATAGTTCTGCACATTAGACACATGTTTAGAAGAATGTACGTTTTCTTTCTTACTATCATGTAAAATTCCACTTTCTTTTTGAATGCTGACATTGCCGGTTTCGCCTTGCGAACCCTTTACAACGTATGTTGTATTTAACACATCACTCTGGTTTCGATTGGTAATATTATGCTGATGTTTCTGAGATCTTTGAATTTCACTTGAGGAATTATTCACATTTGTTGATGTACTCTTATTGTTCTGAACAATATTTGTATTTCCAGTTTTGTTATATTGGTCTGTTGCCACTTGGTGATGCGGCCTTGCAGAATCACTTGTAGTATTATTAACCTCTATCATTTTTGTAACATTAACCCATTTGCCTCCAATTAATTTCTTTTCGGTCACTTGTTTCATTGTTTTTGACGACATTGAAGTACTGGAAGTTGTACTTTTAATGTTTCTGGAATCGATTTTATTTGTTGTGTTTTTGTCATGGTGTTTCGATACAACGTTTGTCGTACGATCTAAGTTACTTCGATCAATAGAGCTCGTTGATGTAGTGCGACCAACACTACTTTGCCTATCATTAATGTTAACAGTTTGGGTAACATTCGAGCTCATGTCTCCGGTACGATGAACAGTTTTCGTGACACGAGAATCTGTATGATCATTTTTAGAAGACAATTGCATATTATGTTGGTCGTGATGCTGCTGGTGTCTTTGTTGATGATGACGGTCGCGATTTATATCTTCCTGAATGTGATAAGTTCTATTAACTTCTATATCATCTGAATTCATTTGACGTCTATCAGTATTATTGATTATATTTTGTGACGTTTTTGAAGTTACCTTATTCACTGTGTGCGATGATTCATGTCTTGACACATCACTCGTGTGTCGTTTATCGACATAAGTTCTATCCGAAGACACATGATCTCGTTGTCTAATGGGACTTGCTCGATCTGTCTCCCTAGGCGATGTTTGTCTTTTATCAATATACTGTACGCGATCTTTAGGACTGATTGGTGTTGAAAAATCATTCGGCTGCCACCTTTGATCATCAATATCTTCTCTAGGTGTTATGTTAGCTGTAGGTTTGGTCCATTTTGGCCTAGATGGCTTTGTCGATCCATTGTCATCTTTTAGTGGTGCGTTATGAGTTTGATGGCTACTGGGACTTGATTGAGGGCTAGTCTTATCTTGAGGCTGCACTGAACGTCCACTAGGGGTGACAATTGTAGTTTGTTGAGTGTGATAGTTTTTACTATCACTATCAAAGTTTTTGATAGAAGTAACGTGCGTTTGGGATGTAATATTTGACGATTTATTGGATACGTCGGTATGATCATGGATTGTATCTATTTTAGTTAGTTTTCTTGGTTCGTCACGATGTGGTTCAGGACCCATAATGGCGCTTTTTTCCGTTTTGATAAGATTGAAGTCATTTTTGCGAGAAAGATCTTCAAAAACTCCTTCAATTTTTAAATTATCTTCACGACGTGTCAGTTTCACTCTTTGTCCTTTAACCAGGCGATATGTATCTGAAGAACGAATGTTTTCCATAGTACCCTCCATTTTTAGATTATCCTCATGTTTAACAATTGCTGATCGTTCACCTTTTACTACTTTGTAGTCATTTTTCTGTTTCATGTCAATGAATTCACCTTCAATTTTTAAATTATCTTCTCGTCGTATAATATCAACTCTGTCTACGTTTTGCCGAAAATCTATATCTTCTATTCTGAGATTATCTACCTGTTTAAATGGTTTTCTCCTTTCTGCTGGCTGAGAAGGTACTACATCTGGCTTATAGAATTTTCCGTCTGGTTTTAAATTATCTTGTGGTTTCACCACAGGTGCTCTTTCGCCTTTTGTTGCACTATAATCATTTCGAATATGTAAGTCAATAAATTCGCCTTCCGTGCGTAAATTATCTTCATGTTTTTGGATAATTACTTTCTCTGTTTTATCAATTCGTTTATAATCATCTCTTGTTCTTCGAATATCCATTACACCTTCCATTTTTAGGTGATCTTCATGTTTGACAACATCTACTCGATCTCCACGTGTTCCTGTGTAGTCAGTTCGCCGAACGACTACCATATCACCTTCTGGTTTTAGGTTATCTTTAGGTTTCTTTTGAACGGGCCGCTCACCAACAGGTGCCGGTTTAGATTTCTCAGGACGTTCAAAATTGCCTTCAGTCTTAAGATTATCTAAAGGTTTTTTAGGTGTAGGTCTTTCAGCAGGCTGCCATTTATCCGTTTTTGGTTTTTCGAACTCTCCTTCTGGTTTTAAATTATCTTGAGGTTTCTTAGGAGTCTGCCTTTCAGCAGGTCTCCACTCTTCTTGTTTTGGTTTCTCGAACTCACCTTCCGTCTTTAAATTATCTTTGGGTTTTATAATTTCGGGTTTTTCAGCTGGTCTCCAATGTTCCTTTTTAGGCGTCTCAAAACGACCTTCAGGCTTGAGATTATCATGCGGTTTTTTAGGCGTTTGTCGCTCAGCAGGTTTCCATGATTCTTCTTTTGGTTTTTCGAACTCCCCCTCAGGTTTAAGATTATCCCTTGGTTTTGTAATAGTCGGTCGTTCAGCTGGGCGCCACTCTGTATGTTTTGGTTGCTCAAAATCACCTTCGGGTTTTAAATTATCCTTTGGTTTCTTAGGAGTCTGCCTTTCCGCGGGTCGCCATTTATCTGGCTTTGGTTGCTCAAACTCACCCTCTGGCCTTAGATTATCTTTTGGTTTCGTTGGAGTAACTCGTTCAGCTGGTCGCCACTCTGTTTGTTTCGGTTGTTCAAAATCACCTTCGGGCATTAAGTTATCCTTAGGTTTCTTGGGAGTCTGTCTTTCCGCGGGTCTCCATTGCTCAGGTTTTGCTTGTTCAAAGTCACCCTCTGGTTTCAGATTATCTTTCGGTCTTCTTTGAACTGGTCTTTCAGCGGGTCGCCATTCTTCTTGGATCGGTTGTTCGAAATCACCTTCGGGTTTTAAGTTATCCTTAGGTTTTTTGGGAGTCTGTCTTTCCGCGGGTCTCCATTCCTCTGTTTTTGGTTGTTCGAAATCACCCTCTGGCTTTAGATTATCCTGTGGCTTTCTCTGAACAGGTCTTTCAGCGGGTCGCCATTGCTCTTGAATTGGTTGTTCGAAATCACCTTCGGGTTTTAAGTTATCCTTTGGTTTCTTAGGAGTCTGCCTTTCCGCGGGTCTCCATTGCTCTGGCTTTGGTTGTTCAAAGTCACCCTCTGGCCTTAGATTATCTTTTGGTTTCGTTGGAGTGACTCGTTCAGCTGGGCGCCACTCTGTTTGTTTAGGTTGTTCAAAATCTCCTTCGGGCATCAAGTTATCCTTAGGTTTCTTGGGAGTCTGTCTTTCCGCGGGTCTCCATTCCTCTGTTTTTGGTTGTTCGAAATCACCCTCTGGCTTTAGATTATCCTTTGGCTTTCTCTGAACAGGTCTGTCAGCGGGTCGCCATTCTTCTTGAATTGGTTGTTCGAAATCACCTTCGGGTTTTAAGTTATCCTTAGGTTTCTTGGGAGTCTGTCTTTCCGCGGGTCTCCATTCCTCTGGTTTTGGTTGTTCAAAGTCACCCTCTGGCTTCAGATTATCCTTCGGCTTTCTCTGAACAGGTCTTTCAGCGGGTCGCCATTCTTCTTGAATTGGTTGTTCGAAATCACCTTCCGGTTTTAGGTTATCTTTAGGTTTTTTAGGAGTCTGTCTTTCCGCGGGTCTCCATTGCTCTGTTTTTGGTTGTTCAAAGTCACCCTCTGGCCTTAGATTATCTCTTGGTTTCGTTGGAGTGACTCGTTCAGCTGGGCGCCACTCTGTTTGTTTAGGTTGTTCAAAATCACCTTCGGGCATCAAGTTATCCTTAGGTTTCTTGGGAGTCTGCCTTTCCGCGGGTCTCCATTCCTCTGTTTTTGGTTGTTCAAAGTCACCCTCTGGCCTTAGATTATCTCTTGGTTTCGTTGGAGTGACTCGTTCAGCTGGGCGCCACTCTGTTTGTTTAGGTTGTTCAAAATCACCTTCGGGCATCAAGTTATCCTTAGGTTTCTTGGGAGTCTGTCTTTCCGCGGGTCTCCATTCCTCTGTTTTTGGTTGTTCGAAATCACCCTCTGGCTTTAGATTATCCTTTGGCTTTCTCTGAACAGGTCTGTCAGCGGGTCGCCATTGCTCGTGAATTGGTTGTTCGAAATTGCCTTCGGGCTTTAAGTTATCCTTAGGTTTCTTAAGTGTCTGTCTTTCTGCAGGTCTCCATTGCTCTGGTTTTGGTTGTTCGAAGTCACCCTCCGGCTTCAGATTATCCTTTGGTTTTATTTGTACAGGCCTTTCAGCTGGCTGCCATTTCTCGTGATGTGGTTTCTCAAAATCGCCTTCAGGTTTTAAATTATCCTTAGGCTTCTTTTGAGTAGGGCGCTCAGCCGGAAACCAATGTTCTTTTTCTGGTGTAGTGAAATCACCTTCTGGGTACAAATTATCAACAGGCTTCTTAGGCTTTACACGTTCCGCGGGCTGCCAATCTTCCTTTAATGGTGTTGTGAATTCCCCTTCCGGTGCGAGATTATCTTTGGGTTTTTTACCTTGTGGTCTCTCTTCTAATGTTTGACTATACATTTTATATTCTTCTTGGGTAGTAGTAATAGTCTCCGAATTCTCTGTTGAATAGAATTTTTCAATATCTTCTTTAGTCCATGTGCGCCGTCTGCGAGGACGGTCTACAACTGTGTTCTTTTCGGTGTAATCCGTTTGATTCGATGTCACAAATTCTATATCACCGTCGTAAATTAAATTATCAACTTTCTTTGTAACTAATGTTGTTCTCTCAACTGTATCCGTAAAGTCAACAAACTCTGACTGCGATGTTGTTTCTGTTGTCATATCACCTTCTAGTTTAGTCCAAGTGTTCCTACGTACAGGTTTAGGTCTTTCAACTGGCTTTATTGTGTATTCACTTCGCGAAGTAGTAGTATCTGAAAATATAAAATACGTTTAATATACTGATTTTTTTTATTAATATCTTTATTATTCTCGTGTTAAATGTTATTGCAGTGGCATAATTCTGGATACATATTTAATAAATATATACATTTGTTTAGATGAAGCATTTATGTGTCGAGTTTTCGAATGGTTGCAAAAAAATTATAAACATTTTAGGATGAGAGGAAAGGCTTAAAAAGTAACTACTTTACCTGTGAATTCACCTTCAGTGATGATATTGTCCGTACGTTTGATGATTTCAGCCCTTTCCCCGATTACTACTTTATAATCTTCTGTTATGGATCTCATGGTAGTAAAATCACCTTCGGGTTTTAGATTGTCTACTGGTCTTTTTTGGATTGGCCTCTCTGCTGGTTGCCATTTTTCTTTTTCTGGTGTTGTAAATTCACCTTCCGGTTTTAGATTATCTTTAGGTCGGCGTACAGGAGCTCTTTCACCTGGACTCCATTCTTCAATCTTTCTATCTTCGAAATCACCTTCCGGTTTCAAATTGTCTTGTGGCTTCTTAGGCTTTTGACGTTCAGCAGGTCGCCATTTTTCTTTTTCTGGCGTAGTGAATTCACCCTCAGGTTTCAGATTATCTTGTGGTTTGCGTGTTGGCGCTCTATCTCCAGGTTGCCAATCTTCAGGTTTACGTTTTTCAAAATCACCCTCAGGTTTTAAATTATCCTCGGGTTTCTTGGGCACTACGCGATCGGCTGGACGCCATTGTTGTTTTTCTGGAGTTGTGAATTCACCCTCAGGTTTTAAATTATCTTCAGGCCGCTTGACGGGTGCTCTGTCACCTGGTTTCCATTCTTCTGGTTTTCTGTCTTCGAAGTCACCTTCAGGGAACAAATTGTCTTCAGGTTTCTTAGGCCTTTGACGTTCAGCGGGACGCCATGGTTGTTTCTCAGGAGTAGTAAATTCACCTTCCGGTTTAAGATTATCTTCAGGTCGGCGAGTGGGAGCTCTATCGCCCGGACGCCATTCTTCAGGTGTATGCCTTTCGAATTCTCCTTCAGGATGCAAATTGTCTTCTGGTTTTTTAGGTTTTTGACGTTCAGCTGGTCGCCAAGGTTCTTTTTCAGGAGTTGTGAATTCACCCTCTGGTTTGAGATTATCTTCAGGTCGTCGAATTGGAGCTCTATCACCGGGGCTCCATTTCTCAGGACGCCTTTTTTCGAATTCACCCTCAGGTCTCAAATTATCTTCAGGACGCTTTACCGGTGCTCTGTCTCCTGGTTTCCATGTTTCAGGCCGTCTATCTTCAAATTCTCCTTCAGGGAATAAATTATCTTCAGGGCGTTTTGGCTTTTGGCGGTCAGCCGGCCGCCATTCTTCTGGGCGTCTTTTTTCAAATTCACCTTCTGGTTTTAAGTTATCTTCAGGGCGCTTTATTGGAGCTCTATCACCCGGTTGCCATTTTTCTGGTCTTCTATCCTCAAAGTCTCCTTCTGGTCTTAAATTATCTTCTGGTCGTTTGACTGGCGCCCTTTCACCAGGACGCCAATCTTCCGGTCTACGTTTTTCAAATTCTCCTTCAGGGTACAAATTGTCCTCAGGTTTTTTAGGTTTTTGACGCTCAGCTGGTCGCCAAGGTTCTTTTTCAGGAGTTGTGAATTCACCCTCTGGTTTGAGATTATCTTCAGGTCGTCGAATTGGAGCTCTATCACCGGGGCTCCATTTCTCAGGACGCCTTTTTTCGAATTCACCCTCAGGTCTCAAATTATCTTCAGGACGCTTTACCGGTGCTCTGTTTCCTGGTTTCCATGTTTCAGGCCGTCTATCTTCAAATTCTCCTTCAGGGAATAAATTATCTTCAGGGCGTTTTGGCTTTTGGCGGTCAGCCGGCCGCCATTCTTCTGGGCGTCTTTTTTCAAATTCACCTTCTGGTTTTAAGTTATCTTCAGGGCGCTTTATTGGAGCTCTATCACCCGGTTGCCATTTTTCTGGTCTTCTATCCTCAAAGTCTCCTTCTGGTCTTAAATTATCTTCTGGTCGTTTGACTGGCGCCCTTTCACCAGGCCGCCAATCTTCCGGTCTACGTTTTTCAAATTCGCCTTCTGGATACAAGTTATCTTCAGGTTTTTTGGGTTTCTGGCGTTCAGCTGGTCGCCAAGCTTCCTTTTTTGGGGTGTGAAATTTCCCCAGCTTCCTTTTCGGGGCCTCCAAGTTGTCCTCGGGGCGCCGTATTGGTGCTCTATCACCGGGCCGCCTTCTTCTGGGCGCCTTATCTCAAAATCACCTTCTGGTTTCAAGTTATCCTCGGGACGTTTAATTGGTGCTCTGTCGCCAGGTTGCCATTTTTCAGGCCTTCTATCCTCAAAATCTCCTTCTGGCTTCAAATTGTCTTCCGGTCTACGTACAGGTGCCCTATCTCCCGGGGGTCGCCGGGGAGTCTTCGGGTTTTCTCTTTTCAAACTCACCTTCTGGTTTTAAATTGTCTTCAGGCCTTTTTACTGGAGCGCGATCACCTGGACGCCATTCATCAGGTTTACGTTTTTCGAAATCGCCTTCAGGTTTTAGATTATCTTCGGGCTTTTTAGGACGTTGACGTTCTGCCGGCTTCCACTGTTCTTTTTCCGGGGTTGTGAATTCCCCTTCGGGCCTCAGGTTGTCCTCGGGGCGCCGTATTGGTGCTCTATCACCGGGCCGCCATTCTTCTGGGCGCCTTTTCTCAAAATCGCCTTCTGGTTTCAAGTTGTCTTCGGGGCGTTTTATTGGTGCTCTGTCCCCAGGCTGCCATTTTTCAGGCCTTCTATCCTCAAAATCTCCTTCTGGCTTCAAATTGTCTTCCGGTTTACGAACAGGTGCCCTGTCTCCCGGTCGCCATTCTTCAGGTTTTCTTTTTTCAAACTCACCCTCTGGTTTCAAATTGTCTTCGGGCCGTTTCACTGGAGCGCGATCACCTGGACGCCATTCATCAGGTTTACGTTTTTCGAAATCGCCTTCAGGTCTCAGATTATCTGCAGGCTTTTTAGCCTGTTGACGTTCTGCCGGCCGCCACTGTTCTTTTTGAGGAGTGGAAAATTCCCCTTCGGGTCGCAGGTTGTCCTCAGGGCGCCGTGTTGGTGCTCTGTCACCAGGTCGCCATTCTTCCGGTTGCCTCTTTTCAAAATCACCTTCAGGTTTGAGGTTATCTTCCGGCTTAGTAGGTTGGCGTCTTTCAGTCGGTTGCCATTTTGGACGTTCCGGTTCTTCGAAATCGCCTTCCAGATATAAATGGTCTTCGTGGTGAACGGCTGTGGTTCTGCTAACGTGCTTTTCGTCGTAATCTTGTTTGTACGCGGAGACCACGCTCGTGGTGTGCTCCACATCGAACAATGGCTCCGGGACATCGTTGTGTGGGCAACGGTGACGCCTGGAATTGAAACGGACTCTATTATTTTTATGATGAGCGTTAACACACAATATCAGTCATTATATACACTTTAAATTACGACTTGTTAAATGTTTTTAATCTGGTCACGGAGGACTAAGAATGTTGGACATCCCTCATGTTAAATCTTTTTTGTTAGTGCCATCTGTTTAGTCGTAGTTGTAAAGTATATAAATAATTATTTTTCCTAGTTAAGATATGCACGACAAAATTAAAATAATGTATTTTTTTTGTTTCAGGGACTATTCAAAGATAAAGTGTCGTTTATATTCACTAAAACCAAAGTTTAACAGAAAGAAAAAGGCGTATAAAATCAATGAATCGCGTTACCTCTTTCTTCGATAAGGGTGAAGATACAAAGGAAAACGACGAAGAACAGGCAATGGCGGCAGTATAAGCAAATTAGCCATCACAAGAATCCATTATGTTGGTTTACGACACAGTCCACTTACAAAAAAATACTAGCTAACGTATACTTTTAACATCACTTTTGACGTATCACTTGCACCACTATTAAAGCGACTAATAAAGCAAAAGGCGGTCTATCTACTGCCGTAACCACGTAAGCTAGAAGCCTGTATTCCTATGTTTGTACGGAATACTGTTCACGTTTAATATATACTAGCTGTGTCAGCGACTTCGTCCGCGGAGAATAGTTATTTTGGGCATAATTTTTTTTTAAGGAAACCTCTTTATCTTTATAGGTTTAGGCTTATAGGCTTTTGCCCACGTTCGTCGTGTCTCGTCGTTCTTGCAAGTTAATCTTAAAAGATAGACATGTACTATCGCGGACATATTTTTTAGATCATTTCTTACATCAATCATTCTTTCATAGATCTTTTTTGGGTATCTTGAACGATTTTCGTAACGTACGCAAAGGAAACTCACAAGGATATTATTTCTCGATAAATGCTCTAACCAACACAAAAATATTTTTCATAATTCGAACTTTCATTCAGTAGTTCCTGAGATCAAAGTGTTCAAACAAACAAAGTCTTCAGCTTTATATATTAGTATAGATGTGTTTCATGAATAACTTCTATCTTTTCAATATCCATAGTTCCCTGTTTCCATATCAAACTACTTATCTGACCTGAAATTTCTAAAGTTCATTACCATAGCAACCGCCGCATGAAAGGGGAAGCCTGAAAAGGGCTGAAGCGATTACTTCGACGCGTAATGTTCGCTTTGTCGGAGAAACGTTGTGTGTAATATAATAACCTATAAAATATTGATTCAATGACGTCGTATTTTTAATCAATATAATACGAAGAAATAAATAAAAGTATCGCCAATATTTTTTTTTTATATTGTAAAATATTTTATTTGTTCGTTAGATTTTAAACCCTACTAGCTGATCCAGCCAACGTTGCTTTATTGCTGCAGGATTAAAAATTATTATTGCGCGAGAGGTGCATGTGTCAATAAGTTGAAAAATTCGACGATGAGGTGTAGGACTCGGTAGCTCAATTGGTAGAGCAACAGCACGGAACGCTGACGATATCGGTTCAGGGCCTGCCCGAGTCGAAAATTTGTTCAATTTATTTTTTATTTTAAAAATAATATTATTATATTGATCCAACTCTAACAAAGAATTGATTATAATGTAATATTTCGACCAAATTTTATTACCACAAAAACGGTTCTTGCGAGTCAATCTGAAAAGATAGATTCCATTTACAGCCTGATTTCTCCATAAATGGTATAACCGACGCAAAAAGAATTTTTAAATTTGAACCGAAAATTCCTGAGATTTGCGCGTACAAGTAAACTCTTCAGCTCCATAACGTTAGTATAGATTTAAATAAAACACTTTAACGGTTTAAAACGCGATATATTAGTTAAACTTATTTGAAAATGACGTCTGCCCGTGACCACGGCTGCTGCAGAGCATCCAAAACGTCGGGCCGAAGTTAAAAATCATTTTCAAATAAGTTTAACGAATATATCGCGTTTTAAACCGTTAAAGTGTTTTATTCAAATGTGTACTACTCGCGTAAACTATAGACAGTATGTTAGTATAGATAAATAGAATTTCATTAAAAATATGAATAATTTTAATAATAATTACAAAGCAAAATTATTACGAATTTTACATTTTGCAAGTATAAAGCCGCAGGCATTAATTAAAAGCATAGCCGTGGTTGTTTCATAAGTGGGCGGTTATTCACACCGAGCCAAATTTAGCTCTGAGTAAGTCCTTTCTTGAAAGAGGATTCATCTCACTTAAGAACGACGAATAGTATAATTGGCTACATGACTACAATATGAGGCTCCATGTTACATCGGACCTATAGTTTTTCTTTATGAGAGTTTTTCTTATGATTGAGGAGGACAGATGAGCACGGGGATCATTTGATGGTAGGTAAAATACTCCAGCAATATATTATACGCAGTCGACCTATTTTGACTTTGGATATTCAGAAATCTAGAGACTGAAACCGAAACGCGATTAAACTTCACGGCTTTTTTATCTATGGACGGTGACGTGACCTGGACGAAATTTTCGACATTCCTACCTATTTAGTATCCAGATTTCCAGACGCAGTCCAACATGTTTTCAGAAATATGCTTCAATGACATTGCGTTAAACACCACAACACATCCTAGGTTCCAATCCTAAGAAAATTTACAACCACGTAGAAGTCTGACCTACTCGGCCTTATTGCAAAAAAATACTTACCAGAACCGCTGAAGTCTTGGTTTAACTCTTAAACTATGGTCTAAATCAATCCAAGTTGGTACCATAGTTAGTCCAGTACAAACGTTAAACATCGTTTTGTAATAAGGATTTCAAATAAACCAGGGTTTGAACCAGGCTTGAGAGTTACTCTTCGTTTTATAATAAGAGTGACTGAGTCTTGTTAAGTAACAGAGAAGTGTATCTTGTAACTTACATTCCACATAGGGAAAACCAGATTCAATGGAGGTTCTTTCAGCTTCCATCAAGTAACCCCATCCTCGTCTGTCTTCATCATCATCAATCATATTACAATAATTACAATTGCATAAGTAATCTTTAAACGTATTTGTATTATTTTAAATACGATGATGTAAATGCTTGGAGAAGCCGCAAAACTCAGTTGCGTTATCCCATCGACTTAACGTGCAATGTAAGATAAATCACATTTATCCCCCATTCCTATAGCGTACTAGCTGGCCCGGCAAAAGCTCTTTTGCCATATAAATTGTATTCCGATAATATTTTATTCCCATAAGAACGGTTTTTATCGAGTTAGTAATTAAAGATTATAGTGTCGCGCACAGTTTCAGATAGATTATTTAAGGAAGAATACATATTTTTTGGGTATCTTCAACCGTTTTCGCACAGCAAGGAAAGGATACCCTAAAAGATGTCTTTACCACGCTTTTTTTTAATCCGTCTAAGTCTTCGCTCCATTATTTGGTCTCAGGCTGATGTTTTATGGTCTTAAGGCTCCTTCAATACATGGTCTAACCAATATGAAAGGAATTCTTCAATTCGACCCCGTAGTTCCTGAGGTTAGCACGTTCAAATAAACGAACTATTCAGCTTTATGTGTGCGATGGTAATAACTTAAACGACAAATATCGAACGAAGTAAATAGTAATTATTATATATATAGAATTAAAAAATCTCCAAATAATTTTAACTAAGATACATCGCGTTTTACACCGTTAACGTGTTTTATTATTTATTACGAAGTAGTTGATCTGACGTAATTACGTTTTACTATTAAGCTACGGGCAACTTAAAAAAAATTAATGCTTTTTCCCTATTATTGAAGATGAGAGTACCAAGTTTGAATGCAATGTCACGACCTATATGATAAATAATTCCACAAATAAGCATTACGAATCAAGTAAGGACAGAATAAACCGAGATAGGTCATACAGAATGAGTAAAGAGTGACTGCAAGAAGACGACCATGACACGAATATTTATTCTGAGAAAACCTAGCGAAAAGTAATTTATTTCCTTGTAATATTAAAAGGCATGTGTTGCTAAGCGCAAACTGAACTTGGTTTTACGAAAATAAAATTTTCAATAACTTTTAAAACTAGGCAGAAAAAACCAACACTTTCCTAAAGGTATCGTTTATATACTGTAGAGACAATTTGTACTTTAATAAATACATTAAGTCCATTCACAATGTAAATTCGACCAAACTTGATTACCATGACGGTTCTTAAAAGTAAATAATTGTCTGCGTTTTTTACATTTACTTCGATAAATGGTCTATCTAAAAAAAAATCACTTTCAACCACTAGTTCTCTCGTTCTCGATGAACGCGTTAGCACAAACAAACGAAGTCTTTTGCTTGATAATTCGTATATTTTAATAAAACATAATAACGGTTTAAAACGCGATATATATTATTTTAAAATTCATTTAACTACGGCCCGGCGTTTTTTAAGTGTGTACTACTCGCGTTAACTACTATTAACTACTTTGCCTAATCTTGATCATTAAAGGCTAACTTAAAGCTGACTGCAATTTAAATTTCTTCCGTAATACTGTCTATAGTTTACGCGAGTAGTACACATTTAAATTTCCGTTTCCCCGTGACCACGGCTGCTGCAAAGCATCCGAAACGTCGGGCCGAAGTTAAAAATCATTTTCAAATAAGTTTAACTAATATATCGCGTTTTAAACCGTTAAAGTGTTTTATTTAAATTCTTCCGTAATATAAAGCCACAGATGCAATAACTAATAATAAACACATGACATATAGAGTGTACGAAGAGAGTTTGAAACATGAGCTTCTGTTTTCGCAAGCCATATGCCTGCATCGCATTAGTCACGAACACCACGACTTCGGTGACGAGATCCGATCTTTACTAAATCGGGACGGTTACTCAACATAAACAAGCATATTTTGTACTTAGTGAGTAATGCTTAACTTGATTCTTTATTTCTTATTAAGTTTAATGTGATTTTCAGGCTGGCAACGAAGGTTATAATCGTAACCAATGATCACTCAAATTATAGTAAGGTTATT